AGCTTTTCCCCATTAAGTATAATATTGGCTATTGGTCTGTCATAAATGGCTTTTATTGTTTTTAGAAATGTTCCTTCTATTCCTATTTTCTCCAGAGCTTTTAGCATGAATGAATGTTGAATTTTATCAAAGGCTTTTTCTGCATCTGTGGCAATAATTATTCATCTCATTTTTAAGGCATTTTGCACTGAAACATTTTCAATATATCTCCTCATTGGCAAAGGGTTATCTTCCTTCATGGAACTGTGAACTTGTTCAAGAAGCTTCTAGTTTTGGGGGGAACATCTGGATATTTCCATTGTCTAGAAAACTATTCAGTCTTTTTGCTCTTGATTCTGAAAAAAACATTCCACCACATCCTTACCTTACTCAAATACCATGTTAGGGAAGTTCTGTTCTTGTCTCTTGGACTCCCAAGCCATATTTGATTTGGCTTTGAGTTAAAACTCTATTTTTTGATGAAACCCAGATGTTATTTGAGGTCATCCTTTGCTTTGGAGATTTCTATAACTGATCCATGCAGTGAATTTTGAAAATTCCCAGGCATACTTCTTGTTGATCTTCTCTGATGTCTGAGTCATCACTCTTCATCCTCAGGCTTTTTCCATATGCAATTCCTTCATGATTTCATACATTGTTTCAATTCCCTTTAGATTCAAGGATTTAAGAGATGGTATCATGCCTCGACCACAGTACCTTCTAGCATCTTGCTCACTCGGCTCACGAGATCACCATGCCTTTGACTAGTGGCTGTGCTTGCTATGTATGATGGGAGGGAGACGGGAGAGTCATCAGAGCCGTTCAGCAGGAGCCACTTACTCTGTGTGTGTGGCCTTGCCAGACCTGTCTACTTTTTTTCACCTGATATTTTTCTCTTGGCTGGACCAGATCCACCTGCTCTCAACCACCTAATATGTAAAATGTTCAGGATCTGAAACCTTCCTATGTTTTCCTCTGTCACCACCAGCCTTATGTTTTGTCCCATATACCCTACCTGAAATTTTCCTTCTGCTTGTCTCCATTTGGCTTCTATTGTCCCTTCTTATTTCATAACCAGCACCATCAACACCTTAGGCCCGGGGGAGATTTTTCTGAATATTTGCTTCTCCCTGCTTTCAAATGAAAACGATAGCAATAGTCAGAGCAGGCATCTGTTGAGGATTGACCTTATCCTAGGCCTTTTATTCTCGAGACATTTAGATTCATAATCTTTCTTAAATCCTCCTACAATCCAATAAGGTGGGTAATATTGCCCTTGTTTATTAGGTGAGGAAATTGGAATTAATATACCCGAAGTGACAGAAGTAGACTCTTGAACAGTTAGACTTGCCTCCAAGGCTGCCTGTTAGAATGACAGCACCATCCTCTCAGAATTGCTCAGGAAGCAGGGAGGGCAAAAGAGGGGGGAAAAGAGGAAGGGAGGGAGGATGAGCAGATAAGCAAGCAGACCATGTAAAGGAACCCTATCTCCTTAATGGACATTCTTTATGGAGTAATCTCTTCAGGAATTGTAGCCACAGTAAAGGCAGAAATGCTATCAACTTTCATTACATATTTAAGCCCTCATTTGTGTGTCCTAGATACCACCGCTCTGCACAATTGAAAAAAAAAAAACAACTTCCCACATTTGTAATGCTGGGAGACAGGATGGTATTTTTTTAATAAACATGCTTGAAAACATATTTAAAATGTGTATGCTTATGAATCCTAAATAAAATGACTCTGAATCAGTAGCTTGCTAATAATCATTTGCATTTTTCAGTGGCTGGCATTCGTCAGCATGTATTTGTATTCAGACAGCGTGTTTAATTCCATCAATGTTCTTTTTATGGTAGATTTGTGTTTCTTGGAGAAGCGATCAGGCTGAAGCCATCGGTTGGAATATTTATTACCATGAACCCAGGATATGCTGGTCGAACTGAATTACCAGAGAATCTCAAAGCTCTTTTCAGGCAAGTGCAGTGCGTGGCAGCTTAGCGCTGGGGTGCTCACGCCACCTAACGTTCTGTTTGCACCGGTGATCAGTTGGATTTTGTTGGAGAACTCCTCTGGCAAACTCTTTTATTATTTCTCTGGGAGCCTTTTATAGAGAGAACGTTCCCCATGATAAATCAGCCCTTGTGAATTATAAAATCAAGACTCAAAATCAGTGTTTAAATGTTATACAGTAAATTTGGATATTTAATATTAACTCTGTGCTCTGATGTTTTTAGTATAAAGGTAATTTTCATGAGTTATGAAATTCTGGGGAATATATAGAAAAGAATGTATTAAAAATAGAGAACCACTATTCAAAAATAATGACCATTTCGTTTTTTCTAGTTTATCTTATAGTATGTATATATGAACATGCATATACACACACACACACACACACACACACACACACACAGAGTATTTGTGTGTGTGTGGGGTGCCAGTACAAGGGCTTGAACTCAGGACCTGGGCACTGTGCCTCATGGATAGCAGTCTACCACTTGAGCCACAGCCCTGTTTTCAGCTTTTTGCTGATTAGTTGGAGATAGGCGTCTCACTGGACTTTCCTGCCTGGGCCAGCTTTTAACCATCATCCTCAGATCTTGGCTTCTTGAGTAACTAAGATTATAGGCATAAACCAATGCCCAGCTATAGTTTATATTTTTATGGAGTAAAAATGCTAACATGGGTATGATTTTTCTTTAGTACTGATCATTTCATGTGGTTGAGTTTTTTTTTTTTTTAAAGAGGATTTATTAATCAAATACAAGGATTTTGACCAGGGGTGGAGGTGGTGGGGAGGTGTGTCATTTAATATTTTGAAATGCAAATTTTATCATACTTTTGGAAATAGCATTTTCTGCAGCTACTAATTTGTCTCTCTAATTTGTCATCCATTACTTCTTGACTACCTCCTCTTGTCTGACAGGGTTATATATTCCTTTGTATTTTCATGATTATAAAATAGGCTGAATTGAGTACTGGTGGCTCATGCCTGTTCTCCTAGCTACTGAGACCTAGAGGCTCACAGTGCAAAGCCAGCCTGAAGAGAAAAGCCTGAGAGACTCAATCTCCATTTAACCACAAAAAACTGAGCTAGAGGCCCATTGGGTCAGTGGAGCAAACAAGCTTAAACCCCACCCCAGTGCTGCCAAATTAGTTAATTAACATATGTTTACCTGAGAACTTATTTTTTTAATATCTTCTCCTCCATTTATTTATTTTTATTTTTTTATTGTGAGAATACCATACAGAGGAGTTACAATTACATGGGCAAGATAACAAGTACATTTCTTATCAAGCATTGTTGCCTCCGTTGTTTCCCCTTCCCATACTCCTCCCCTCCCCCACCCGGCCCTCCCCCCACCCCCACCAAAGTAGTTAAGTTTGTTTTTCGACATAACGACTTGTACATCTCATTGTTGCAATGGAGAACTAACCTTTTGCAGAGAAGCTAAGGGAGAATACTCAGACACTGAGTTCAAGCCCCTTGACTGACACTGACACACACACACACACACACACATGCTATATAAATCAGCAATTCCGCTCTTATTTACCTCAAATATCTCATGTGTTCACATACTTTTCTTGCTCAGTTAGAATGGCCATAATCAAGAAATCTAGTAACAACACATGCTGGAGAGGATGTGACCAAAAGGGAGCCCTACTGCATTGGTGGGTGTAAACTTGTTCAACCATTTTGGAAAGCAGTATGGAGGTTACTCCATATAGAGCTCCCCTATGGCCCAGCAATCCCACTTTTGGGCATTTACCCAAATGGTCACAAACAAGACCAAACTAAAGCTACCAGCACAACTATGTTTATTGCAGCCTTATTTACCATAGTTAAGATATGGAACCAACCCAGATGCCCCTCAGTAGATGAATGGATCAAGAAAATATGATTTATATATATTTATATAATGGAATTCTGTGCTTCCATCAGAAAGAATTATACCACCTCATTTGTTAGGAAATGGAAAGACGTGGAAAAATTCATATTAAGTGAAGTAATCCAGACCCAAAGAAATATAGATTCCATGGTTTCCCTTATTTACAATAACTAGTATAAGTATAGGATAATCTTATCAGATGAGCAGAAAAGCTCAAAAGTTATGTACATATGACCTTATAAAATGATGCTAAGCAAAATGAACTCCAAGACATGGACACAAGAGAATTTTCTTTGGTGGTGGTGTTTTTAATGTACTATGTGATTTTTTTTTGGTTTCTTTTGTATGTTCTTCCCCTATGGTATCTCCCCTGTTGTCACTTGGTACCCTGCATTTTGTATATACATTTATCTAATTTGGGGAGGGGAAGGGGAATAACAATACTGAAACAAGGACACAGGATGACCCATTGCAACAATGATACTCACAAGATACTGTTTTGGAAATGATTTTTACAGCTTCTGGGTGGGGAGGAGAATTGGAGGAGGTGGGGGAGGGAAGGGATAGTAGGACATAAAGGAGGGGATAACAATGTTGGACAAGAAAGATATTCATTGCCTTACTCATGTAACTGTAACCCCTCTGTACAATAAAATAAAACTGAAAAAAAGAATGTGCAATCTCAGCTGAGCATGGTGGCTCATGGCTGTAATACTATTTATTCATGAATTAGAAGGCAGAGATTGGGGGGAATCATGGTTCAAAGCCAGCCTTGGCAAAAAGTATCACTCCATCTTAACCAACCAGCTAGATTTGGTTATTATTGCCTGTGATTCCCATTTGTTCAGGAGGTTGTATATAAGAGGATCATGACTTGAAGCTGGCCCTGGACAAAAAAACACTAGATTCCACCTGACATATAATTAAAGCAATGAAGGAGGGGGGCAAAGCTCAAGTAGTAGAATGCAATCTCTTTGTAAATGTGATTGTACTATTTTGCACCAATCTATTAATGTATGGGAAATTCAGGTGTTTTACATTCTTGTCAGAACCTGTTACTATCAATCTTTTTAGCCTTGGGTGATATAATAGATTGATACAATAGATTTGCAGGCATATACCCTTGTGGGTTTGATTTGCATTTCCCAGAGTGTTAATACTGTGGAGAATTCTTCCTTCTTTTACTGGCTATTTCTATACAATCACTTGTGAAGTGCAGTTGTTTTTAATTTGGCCTTCTGTATACAGTTCCTTTAATAGATACAGACATTGCAAGGTTCCATTTTGTGGCTAGCTTTTAATTATGTCAGCAGTTCTTATCAAAGACAGAGTTTTAACTAGAAATAGAATTTATCCATTTATTTAGGGTTTTTCTGTCTTACCTAAGGCCACTTGATGATATAAACTTGCAAAACTTTCCTACTGCTTTCTTCGATGCCTTATAGTTATCATGAATTTTTTTCCTTTATTCTATTGATTGTTGAACTACCCTGGTAGATTTTGAGGTGCCAGCAGTCCTTCGCTATAGCCTTGTGATACCCATTTGGTCAGGAGCTATTCTTTTTTGTGTGGATTGCTGAATTTGGTTTTGTTAAGGACTCTTTTAATCTATCAGGTATATTGGTTTTCAGTGTCCTTTATTATTTCTATTTTGGTCTACTTTTTTTTCCAGTCTGAGTAATGCTGACCTCATGAAAGCAGATGGCAGGCATTCTGCTTTACTAAAACTTTTTGTATAGGATTACTACTATTCTTTGTTTTTCTTCATGAGAATCTATTTTTAATAGATACGAAGTTATTGAGTTTTTGAGGGTTTTTTTTTTGCAGTATTAGAATTTCAAATCAAGGTCTTGTGCTTGCTAGGTAGGCAGTTTACCATTTGAGCCACATCTTTTTGCTTTAGTAATTTTTTTAAAATAGTGTTTTTGTGTAGCGTTTTTGTCCAGGCCAACCTTGATCTTGATCTTCCTATGCCTCCCATGTAGCTAGGGTGACACACACACATCACATTCACAGCTTTATTGGTTGGGATAGAGACTCAGTTTTTGTCTGGGCTGGTTTAGAACTACAATTTCCCTAATGTTTTCTTCCTAATTAACTGGAATTACAGGCATGTGCTACTTATGCCCAGTATAGATTTTAACTTTTTTTCTTGAATTATTTTTCATAATCCACATCTTTTAAAGAATGTATCCATATTTTATAATGTGTTGGCTTATATTTGTTCATAACATTAGTTTATTATCTGCAGTGATAGCCTAAGTTACATGTCACCATTTATACAAGCAAACATTTACATAAGTTTCTATAGTTTCATTTGGTTTTTGGTTATGAGGCTTGAATCAGGGCCTGGGCACTGTTCCTGAGTGCTTTTGCTCATGACTAGCATTTATCACTACCACCTTGATTCACAGTTTCACTTCAGATTTTTCAGGTGGTTAATTGGTGATAAGAGTCTAATGGACTTTCCTACCCAGAACTGCAATTGTCAGATCTCAGCCTCCTGAGTAGCTAGGATTACAGCTGTAATCCACCAGTACTCAGCCTCTAGAGTTTTTGGTGTGATTTCTTTTTTAAAATTTTTTTTATTTTCTTCCCTTCTTTTTTTCGATTCTGCTGCTGCTTCTGCTGCTGCTGCTGCTTTTTCTGTGTACCAGTCCTTGGGATTGAATTTAGGTCCTGGACAATGTCCCTGAGCCTCTCTGTGCTCAAAGCTAGTGCTCTACCACTTGAGTCACAACACTTCAGTTTTTGAGTCATTAATTGGAGATAAGAGTCTCATGGGGACTTTTCTCCCTGGGTCAGCTTCAAACTGCCATCCTCAGATCTCAGCCTCCTGAGTAGCTAGGATTACAGGTATGAGCCACCAGCACCTGGCTTGTTCCTAAGCTTTTTGCTCAAGGTTAGTGCTCTACTACTTGAGCCACACTCCTCTCCTAGCTTTTTTGGTGGTTAATTATTAGAGAAAAGTCTCATAGGTTTTCCTGGCTGGGCTGGTTTTGAACATCTATCCTCAGATCTTGGCCTCCTGAGTAGATAGGATTATAGACATGAGCCACTGGCACCAGGCTCTTTTTCTTTACGTGTGTCAGTACTGGGGCTTGAACTCAGGGCCTTGAGTTCTTACTTGGTAAAACTGGCACTCTACCACTTGAGCCACACCTCCACATTTGGATTTTTTGCTGCTTAATTGGAGGTAAATATATCACAGTCTTTCCTGCCCAGGCTGGCTTTAAACATTGATCTTCCCATCTCAGCCTCCTGAGTAGCCAGGATTGTAGCCAGGATTGCACAAGTGAGTCACTGGTGCCCTGTGCTTTTAGTTCTTTTAACCCTGAAATTTTCTTGTCTATCCATTTAGATCCACATTTCACTTGTATTTTCTTATTTTAATGGTATTACTTTTGAAATATAATTAGTGTAAAGAGGATTTGGGCAGGTAATGTGAATATTTAAATCTCTTAGGTAGTAATCCAATGTCTAGCTCCTATATTTCATGTTTTCTAGTCGTCATAATCACAGTTTTCACTAGCATAGTTAGTTTATAATATCTGATTGTCTTGAAAAGATTCTAGATAGAGAATTACCACCCTAGAAATGAATGTAAGAAGTATAGGATAGTTTAGTATGAAATGGTACACTTTTCCAGTGATGTTACATTTGTAATCTGTTTATTCTCATGTACTTTTTTCATTTGAGTCTTAAAATGTTCAGTTGTTCGGTGATACTTTGATAAATTTGTTTAATAGATCAGATACAGCATTGTTTATTGTAGGCTGGTATGTTTTGCTGTGTCAGCAAAATCTGAAGCGGAAAATTTGGATGCAGTAATGTTCACAAGTGAGGAGCTGTATGCTTGGCCTGTTAGGGTCTCCTGGTTCCCCCATAGCAGCCATGTAGGCCAGGCCAGGCTCTGTGCTTGAACTTCGTGGCACATGGGTTTACACTTATGTGAAAGACACTTGAGACATTTAGCCTGCTAGAATTAAGAGCTGTCAGTTTGGGAAATGCTTTCAGCATTCCATGTAATCAGAAGGAAGAGCTTAGCCAGGAATGTTCTCTCCTGTTGGGGACAAAACTTAGTGTTATGGTACCTGCATGTGTCCACAGTTCCCAACACAGTAACATTACCATCTGTATCAATGAAGTTAAAAGGTAGTCAAAAGATGACCTACTAAATATGAGAAGGAAATAAAGGATTATTTTAGATAAATTCCAGTGCCTAAATCCAAAGAAACATTGGGGAAGGTCTAGAGTGAATTTAAATGAGCTTGAAATGGATTAGAATTACAATTTCAGAAACAGGCAAGTGTTTTGTGATATAGAGCTTTCAGCAAAAATGACAGGCTTATTTATTTATTTGCTCTTGCTCCTTCATGCTTGGCTTGAGCGCAAATTTTTCAAAAGGCACTCTTACAGCAACTGTCTTGGGGGAGAACTTTTGGGGAGGTTTCAACCTTATTATATGGGAGAATTTGGAAACAATGTTTTACAAATTTTCATTTAAGCAGGCTGCTCCTAGGTATGATGTGTTGGTGATGACTATATGCTCATTCGTTCCCTCCCTTCCTCCTTTCTTTCCCTCCTTCCCTCCCTTCCTTCCCTCTTTCCTTCCTTCCTTTTTTCTTTTTCTCTCCTTTTCTTTCTTTCTCTCTCTTCCCTCTCTTTCTTTTCTCTTTCCTTTTTTCTCCATCCCTCCTTCCCTCTTCCTAACCCCTTCTCTCTCCTTCCTTCCTTTCTTTTTTTTTCTTTCTTTCTCTTTCTTTTCTTTCTTTCTGTGTCTTTCTTTTTTCTTGTTCTAGTACTAGAGCTTGAACTTAAACCATTGAGCTCTTGTTTGGCATTTTCTCTCAAGTCTGGTGATCTACCACTTGAACTACAGCTCCACTTCTGACTTCTTGCTGGTTAATTGGACGTGAGTCTCTCAGACTTGTCTGCCCAAGCTGGCTTTGAACCACAATCCTTGATTTCAACCTGCTGAGTAGCTAAGATTACAAGTGTGAGCCACTGTCTTGACTAAGAACTTTAAACTTTTGACAGGCTAAGTGTTCAGGAATTTTATGATTAGTTGTTAAGCATATCCTCCAGTCAAACCAAATTATATCAACTTTTTATAAATTATATTGTATCCAAATGAATACTCAAAACTCAGGACTTCATTCTTATTTCTTTTTTACAAGTTTTAAATTTTTTATTGTCAAGGTGATGTACAGAGGGGTTGCAGTTACATAAGTAAGGTAATGAGTATATTTCTTGTCAATCTTGTTACCCCTTCCCTCAATTTTCTCCTACTTTCCCTCCCTGAACTCCCCCAAGTTGTCCAGATCATTTCCAACACATTGTCTTGTGAATATCTCTATTGCATTGGTTCCCTTGTCCTGTGTGTCACCATCCTGTTGTTCTCTTTCCTTTCCCTAATTCAAATAAACGTATGTACAATCCCAGAGTACCAAAATCAAATACAGTGACAACAGAGTATATACCATAGGGGGAAGAACATACAAAAGCAACAAAAAATCACATAGTACATTAAAAACAACACCAAAGATAAGCCTCTTGTGTCCATGTCTTGGAGTTCAAGCATCATCTTGTATGGGCATATATATATAGCTATTGAGCTATTCTACTCATCAGCTAAGATTATCCTAGATGTATACTAATTATCGCAAATAAGGGAAACCATGGGACCTCTGTTTCTTTGGGCCTGGCTTACTTCACTTAACATGATTTTTTCCAAGTCTTTTTTTTTCTTTCCAATGGTGGAAACATATACTTTCATTGTGTGTATGTGTGTGTGTATGTGTATGTGTGTGTGTATATATATATATATATATATATATATATATATCACATCACATTTTCTTGATCCATTCATCTACTGAGAGGCATCTGGGTTGGTTCCATAGCTTAGCTATGGTGAATACATTATTTTACTTATATTTATGGCATAGTTGCCTGCAGTCTAGATGGTGAGGACCTACTGTGCACCTCTTCCCAGATCTACTTTTAGGGATGGGTTGATAGTTTGAGAACAGCCTGGGGGAAAGATTTATTCCATGGAAATCAACAAGCACTGTTTATAGGACAGCTGGGAATTCAACTTCTACTAGCATACCACTAGTCCCAGTAAAGGCTGGCCTTGGCTGCAAAAACCTCACTGCTCATTTTCAGGTACCCGTTGGCTCTGTGATCCTAAGCTACTCATGAGGCCAAGATCTGAGCATGGTGGTTTGAAGCTAGCCCAGGCAGAAAAGTCCATAAGTTAGCTCTTATCTCCAATTAAGCAGCAAAAGCTGGAAGTAGAGGTGTAGCTTAAGTGGTAGAGTGCCAGCTTTGAGTGAAAGAATGAAGTACAGTGCTAGGCCCTGACTTCAAGCTCCAGTACTGGCATAATAAACAGCAACTAAAAGCTTGCTGTTTCTCTTGTAGAAGTTTAGCATCTAAAACCCATGCTTAGCATGGTTGAGATCCTGGGTTCAATCCCAAGCACCAAAAAGCAAAGGCACAAACAACCAGCCAATTAATCAAAAACAAAAGCCTAATTGAACCAGGTGCCCGTGGCTCATGCCTATTATCCTTGTGACTTAAGAGGCTGAGATCTGAAACCAGTCCAGGCAAGAAATGTCCACGAGACTCTTATCTCCAATTAATTACAGAAAAAGCCAGAAGTGGAGCTGTGGCTCAGGTGGTGGAGTGTTGGTCTTGAAAAAAAGGAGCTCAAGGACAGCATCCAGGCCCAGAGTTCAAGTCCTAGGACCAACAAACACACATGCACGCATGTGTGCACGCGCGCGCGCACACACACACACACACACACACACACACACTTAACAAATTGATCCCTGGGCTTATCTAAAACCCTTCCAGCCAGGTTTCTACCATTTCTTTCTACCTTTCCCTATGTAGCTAATCACTAGTGGACATGTTTTAGTTGAATTGAAAGGTTTTGCTAAACTGTGACTGACAGAGGTAATTATGACCTGCTTGGAGTGGTAAGAATATTAGTACAAATTAATCACTGATTTAAGTAATGTGTGCATGTGACCTTCTCACATTTTAAAACAAGATTTCCTATTTTTTTTAGACCCTGTGCCATGGTAGCACCCGACACTGAGCTGATCTGCGAAATCATGTTAGTAGCTGAAGGTTTTGTGGACGCGCGCTCATTAGCCCGAAAGTTCATTTCATTGTACACACTCTGCAAGGAGCTCTTGTCCAAGCAGGTGGGGCTCTTTTGTTACTTTCCCTTGGTTTTTACATCCCATTAAAACAGCTCTGAGATATGGATGCTGGGTAATTGAACGTTCACATTACATGTAGGCATTCCGAATGATTTTATATTTTCCATCCATACTTTATGAAGCTTTGTTCTTTTTCTGAAATTTGAGACATTTTAGGTTTCTTAGGTCCTATTGGTCCTTGGGCAGTTTTTTTTTTATTGTGAAAATACTGTACAGAGGGGTTATAATTACATGGGCAAGATAATGAGTACATTTCTTATCAAGCATTGTAGCCTCCTCCTTTGTTTCCCCTTCCCATCCCTTCCCATCCTCCCCCCACCGTCCCACCCAATCCTCCCCGCCACCCCACCTTGGGCAGTTTTGTTTTTAATCAGTGGACTCTGATTTTAAAGGGCATTCTTTTATAATTATGAAGAGAGTTTGGGGCTTTTTTGTCTTTGTTTTTGTACCAGTACTGGGCCTTGAACTCAGGGCCTCACTCACTTCGCTTTTTTGTACAAGTTTGGAGCTCTACCATTTGAACCAAAGCTCCACTTACAGCTTTTCTTCTGGTTAACTGAAGATAAGAGTTTTATGGATTGTTCATATGGGGCTAGTTTGAACCTCAGTTCTCAGATCTCAGCCTTCTGAGTAGCTAGGATTACAGACCTAAGCCACCAGCATCCAACATGAAAGGAGATTTATGTTGCCTCTGTGTCTTGCTGAGAATTCTGTTCTCTGGTTGGAGATGGCATGAGAGTTCACAAGAGTGAACTCTGAAGAACAACTTGAGAGATGTTCATGTTAATCTCATTTGTTGGTAAACCTTCCCTTAAAGGTGGGATTAACTTGGTTTTTGACATTTAACTCTTTATCTGTGATTCCCTCATCTCTGAAATGGGTCCCTCTGCAAAATCATATTATTCATGTTTACTGAAATTGTTTATGTACAACAGAAATGCTAATACATATCAGCAGTATTTTAAGTTTACCTTTATATGGTCCCTTTGACCTTTGGTTTTTCATGACTTTTCATTCCTGCTGACATGAGCCTGCAGCTGGGACAGAACAAGGTATTAAAGTTGCAGTTGGAACCACACAGTCATCTGGGCTGTCACATATATGAAGTTTAGCTTGCCTATTGGGAAGGCAAGAGACAGAATCTGAGAAAGCTGTGTTGTCTGTTAACAGTTGTGAGTTTACATTTTGGGGAGAGAATTAACAACATTTGACCATATGCAAAAATTATACAACATTGTTATGTGTAGAAGCAGCAGGCCAAACTGTGGGCGTGGTCTCTACTTAGTGTTTTATTTTTATATTTATTGTATTTATATTTATTGTATTTTCTGTGATAAAAATTGAACACTTGTCTCTGGTAGTAAGATTATTGGTATGTTTCCTTTTGTATTCATGAAATCTAGGTTTGAAAAGGCTCTTTTACATCTTATAACAAATTTGGAAGAAAAAGTGTAATAGCACTGAGAGGAAATGGTACTGAGAGGAAATTGTAACTGTACATCACATTTCATGCAGTGCAAACATTTTGGAGCTATCTACTATGTTCACAGAATATGGGCATAATAGGTATGAATGTGAAGATAGATTTGAGAGATGAGTCACATTTGTAGAGAGAAGGAATTAGGTTATAAAAAAAAGTGTGGATGATTTCAATACCCCTACATTTAGTAGAGTCACCCAGAATGCTTAAACTTCTGTCCGGAATTTTTTCTGTGTCCTTCTGGGAGAACGTTGATATCATGTGGATGGGAGATCAAAGGAGGCAAAAGAAAGAAAGCTAGGTGCATGAAATCAATCATTTTGGAATCAAGTTCATTCAGTGCTTATTTTCTGAGCACTTGCCAGCCCTGTGCTGTGACCTACAAGACCAAAGTGAGTTATGATAATACATCTCTATCCTCCCAGAGCCTGTGGGAGAAATCTCCACTAGGGATGATGTGAAAGACTTAGCAGGGTACTGGTTATAATCGAAATTTACATAGGGATTTTATTACATGTAGTGTCAGCATTGGGGCAGAGCTAAGTGGTTAGCAGGTAGTAGGCTGAGTCATCAAGGAAAGCTTGGAGAAGGAGGAATCCATAGTCCTTGGTGCTACCTGGAGACTTGTACTGATGGCTGGAAGTGAATACATGGAAGACATGGACTTAGCAGGTTGATTGAGAGACAAGAGCTAGGAGGTGGATGGAGCACTGAGCACAAGATGCACATAGATGCTAGGGAAAAAGGAGATTTGCTGACTGCAGTGGAAATATGGTCCAGAAAAACAGGTCCTGTCACCTACCTTCCTGAGGTGGGTGAGTTTCACAATTTTCTTTTTTTTCTTTCTTTTTTTTTTTTTTTTGACAGACCTGGGGCTTGAACTCAACACCTGAGAACTGCCCCTGAACTTCTTTTTTGCTCAAGGTTAACACGCTACCATTTAAGTCACAGCACTACTTCTGGCATTTTCTGTTTATGTGGAATCGAACCCAGGGCTAAGCAAGCCCTCTACCACTTAGCCACATTCCCAGCCCCACAATTTTTCAACATGGGAAATGTTATTTTGGATAATGTCTATCTGTACTCATTTAATTTTCAGCTTTTACTTCTGAAGTGAGAATCTTACATAATTATTTGGGAAAATATATCTCTGCTTTGATTTTAGGATCATTACGATTGGGGACTTCGTGCTATTAAGTCTGTCTTGGTGGTAGCTGGATCCCTGAAACGAGGAGATAGAAATAGACCCGAGGATCAGGTATTGGAATGCTAAAGTGATTTTGTTAAGTGAGTAGCCACCTATAGACAAAAGTATATTCCTGGGAAACGAGCCCCACTTTGAAAACGTGACATCTGTTCTTTTGTTTTCTTCTTTATTTTTATAATGGGATTTATGGTAATATTTCTGCATATGAATATAACATGTATTGATTATATTCACTCCTGTTACTCCTCAGTCCCTTCTACATTTTACAGGTTTTTATGAGTTTCATTTTTCAATTTTTGCTTATTCTTATTTTTATGTAGTTGTAGAAGGAGTTTCAATTCAGGATGTCAGTTTATGAGCACAGTGCATCGTGATCAATCTCCCTCCTCCATCATTCTCCCCCTCTCACAACCCCACCCAGCACCTCAAGTTACCTGGTTCCATTTTCTTCACATATCTACATTGAACAGTATGACTGTACTCTCTCACCCTTCTCTCCATTCGTCTGTCCCTCACACAATAATGCATGTTCCAGCTTTCTGGTATTCATTTTGTTATACTATAAAATAAGTTGTTTAAAGGAGTGGCACCATTGAAATCTCTTCTTGTATATACAGTACCATACTTCAGTTAACAATAACATCTGTTCTTAATATAGGATTCTTTAAGATCTAGCATTTCTTACAGTAGGTCATAAGTGAAGTTGAGTATGGAGATGTGAATCATGGAAAGAATGGACAATGGCATAAGTGCTTTTGAGATATCAGTTCCAAAAAGTATTTTTGAAAGACTCAAATACTTCGGTAATCCTTGATTGCCTTTGAGGACCACTTAGGACATCCAATTAATTGGATTAGTTGGGATATTAATTCTGAAAGGTCAGAGAATAGCCAAGCAAATGGAGAGAAGACATCTATTTCTCAGGATATGGGACTGACAGGGAAAGGGAAGCAGGAAATGCTCTGTCCTTCCAAGAGAAAAATAAAAATAGCATATTGCTCATTTCTTCCCTGTTCACTAAGTCAAGAGAGCTGTAGGTGTAACTTTCTGGGTGTGTGTTCAGTCTGGCAGGAAGGGAAGCAATCTAGATTCATCCTGAAAGTAAGGGACATGTACCGTGTTGGTAAAATTTGATCATAACTCATGCTTAGTCAACTTCTTTCATTCCTTTGTTCTCTGGCTACATTTTTACTGTGGATGGACTGTTCAACACTTCCTGTCAAAGTTACCCTGCTGTTGAGTGATTGCATTTAAAACTTGAAGTCCCTCTTTGGTTTTGAGCCATTATAGAACAAAAACCCAAACAAAAAATTTAAGAAACAAAAAACAGTTTGTGATTATGGTTTGGACACAATGATATAATGAGTGTGATTAACTTATGACCTGAGTTGAGCCTGAGGGGGCTCAGAGAGTTCTGCAGCTCTGCGTCTAGCTCTGGCAGGAAAGCAGCAGTCTACTCCCGGCCAGTCTTATTCTGAGATCTGTTCACTGGCCATGTGCTGTTGTCATTTCATCTCCCTATAGACAAAATGACATCCCAACTGAGGACAGATCCAGCCTCTCAGGCTTTATAGAAGAGTGATTAAAAACAGCTGGGTACTGATGGTTCACACCTGTCGTCTTACCTTCACAGGAGGCTAAGATCTTGGGATCTCAGTTTGAAACCAAGGCTGGAGAAAAGTCCACAAGACTCTTTTTATCCTGTTAACCAGCAAAATTCACTGGGCTTGAGGCATGGCTCAAGTGGCAGAATGCCAGCCTTTAGCAAATCAAGTAAAAGCATAAGAACCTAAGCCCCTCAGATTGAGTTCAAGTACCAGAAAAAGGCATCATTGGGCTTTGTATTGCCTTTGCTTAAAGTAAAATTACCTTTAATTGGTATATAAGGTAAAACTAAACATATAACTAGGATAACCTGTAGTGTTCCTATATACTTGCACTGTAAAATGTTTAAATTGGGTTATACATCTACTTGCTCAAACATTTATTTATGGGGTTAAAAACATTCCAGACCTGGGGCTGGGAAGGTGGCTCAGTGGTAGAGCGCTTGCCTTGCACGCTCAAGACCCTGGGTTCGATTCCTCAGCACCACATAAGCAAAAAAAGAAAAAAGCTGGAAGTGGCGCTGTGGCTCAAGTGGTAGAGCGCTAGCCTTGAGCTGAAGAGCTGAGGGACAGCACCCAGGCCCAGAGTTCAGGCCCCACAACCGGACCCAAAAAAAAAAAACCATTCCAGACCTTTCTTCTAGTTTTTTGTTCTTCTAGTTTGTGGTCTAGGTATTGCAGTGGCTTTTGATGAAGTTTTTTCAAATCTTTTTCCTAGGTCCTCATGCGAGCATTAAGGGACTTCAACATGCCCAAGATAGTGACAGACGATGTCCCAGTGTTTCTGGGCCTGGTCGGCGACCTGTTTCCAGCCCTAGAGGTGCCCAGACAGAGGAAGCCCCACTTTGAACAGATGGTCAAGCAGTCCACCCTGGAGCTCCGCTTGCAGCCCGAAGAGAGCTTCATCCTCAAAGTAAGAACACTTCCTTCTCATGGCAAGCTGTGGGGTTTGTTGTGCAAGAAACTGCTTAAAAGATACTTGGAAAAATATTAGCTTCTATTACACTGCCCTGAATATGATCTTAATCCATTCTTCCTAACATTGAATATATAGTCTTAATGGGAGTAAATGTAGCTAAATATTTTAGTCGTCTTGTCCAGTAAGAAGGTAAAAACATAGAAAGGATTAAGTCACGATTCTAAATATTATATATAGAATATATATTCTAAATATTGTTCACTACTTGGTAAAACCTCTTGGTGCTTGGCACCAGTGATGTTCATCTCTAATCTGAGCTATTCAACAGGCCACGATCAGAGGATAGTGGCTCAAAGTCAACTCGGACAGAAAAGTCCATAAGACTTTATCTCTAAAATAACCAGCAAAAAACCAGGCTGGAGGTGTGGCTTCAGTAACAGAGTAACAGCCAAGTAAGTATAAAGTTCTGAGTTCAAACCTTTAATGCTGGCCAAAAAAGAAAAAAATAGTATTTGGCAATATATACCAAAAATGTTCTTCCATTTTATAGAAAATGGTAAGTAAAGTCATTGATTTATTCTCTTTAATTGGGTGGAGGAATGAGAGCACCCATCAAGAATGACTTATCAAAGATATCCTTATCAAAGGCTTGTATGTAGGCATGTTCAATTTAAGGTCAGTAGACCCATGCACAGCAATGTATGCATGGACTCCATTTTAAATATTTTATGGGCTTCTGAGTCATTCATTACTCGGCTAGAGATGATAATTGGCTGTAAACTGTTTATATCCAAAACTTCATGAAGGCTAGGTGCCAGCTTTTCATGCCTGTAATCTCAGCTATTCAAAGCTGGGCTCTAAAGATCAAGATTCAAAGCCAGCCCAAGCAGACAAATCTGTGAGTCTCATCTCCAATTAACTGACACAAAGCTTGAAATGGAGATGTGGCTCAAGTGGTAGAGCACTAGTGTTGAACACAAAAGGTAGTCAGAGTTCAAGGCCCTGAGTTCAAGCCACAATACAGGCATAAACAATAGAAAACCTTTGTGAAGGGTCACCAGTTATTTTCAAGTAGTTACCTCTGCCATATACCACGTACTACATGAAAGTCACAATTTTTCTTCACCCTCATTTTGGCATGCCATGTTGGACAAGTCAGGAGAAACTGTACTTAGAACTTACAGTCCATTTCAACTTTCCTTAATTGTAATGCTTTCCATGGGAGCTCACTTGGGTTGGAAGGACAGAATGGGGCAAAAATTGGTAGGTTGTCTTTTTGTCACCCAATGACAGGCTGTTTGGTGTACAGGTTGTCCAGCTTGATGAACTGTTGGCCGTGCGACACTCTGTCTTTGTGGTTGGAAATGCGGGCACAGGGAAGAGTAAGGTACATTAAATTTCTTGGGACCTCACCTGCTTTTGACGATTTACAGTGCTGCTTTAGACTTCCTTCAGTGAACCACATGGTGTGGGAGGGTTAGATTTGAGACAGCAGTGTCACTGTTTGATTGGTTGATGGTGTTGGCTTCCAATTGGATGAGAGAAACTGAGCATTGTATTCACTTGGAGAAAGGAGCCCAAGATGGAGATGAACTGGTCCCGGAGCTGGTTATTTATCCACAAGTATAAGTGATGCCCCTCTAGTAATGCATTTACACCTGTATTCTTCAACCAAAGGTGAAAGTACTGAGTGGCAGGAATGAACTATCTGGTTGGCAAGCTTGTCTGGGTTCTCCCCACATTGATCAAAATTATTTTATCTTTTCCAAGTCATCCTAGACTCTCCTTCCCATATCATTAAGAAAAACAAACACAAATATTTGCCTTTGGTACTCCCTCAGAAATGTTTCTCTCCATCGGGCCCAAATAAAAACATGGAAAGGAGGTGGTAAACCCCCATTTTTGAGGTCCCTATTATCTGCTGTGCCATGTGTGATGTGTGTGGTTTTCCCTGCACAATGATGATGTGCCATGGGTGTTATTATGCCTCATTTTTAGTTCCCTGCTTGGTTTTGTTTGGCTTTTCTGACAGTCCTGGCAACATACTTATTTTCTTGGTTGGCAGATGGTAGATGCAGAACTGCATACATTTCAATTCGGGATGCTTGGGTATAAACATGCTTCATAGCCAACAACTAAAAATAATCTGAATGAGTGTATGAGTTTTAAAGCATAGAATGGGTGTCTGGGTTTAGAACGTGACAGGATTCAGAGTTGAACCAAAGGGGGGACCTATGGCCAAGGGAGGATCAGAATGGAGATGTTTCTGGTGAAGAATGTAATAATTGAAATATTAAAGTCGATAACTGATAGACCTATAATTATTTTGTTAGAGAAAGTTTCCGATGTAGGCCATGGCTCATGGAAGGATAAAATTAAATTCTATAATTTGTAGGAGATGAATGGTTTCTAAAAATATAAGCTAATATTCTGAAGGCATTTTTCTTCATCTCCTCTTTACCTAATGTATTCTGTTCAACATGAACTTTTAAGCTGATGAAATCAGGAACGTGTTATTCACCAACTTATTTTCATTTAGAAGGATTTGGCAGTTTCTTCTCCTCTGAAACCTTGCTGATTGGGCAGGATGAGAACTATTTCAGACAAAAGGCATGAGTCTTGTGTGCCTGCCTGTAATCCCAAACATAAGTAGGAGGATCATGGTCTGAGGCAAGCTTGCCAGAAGACTCTATTTGACCCTACTTAACAAGTGGCATTCTGGACTGGATGTTGTTATGGAGAGCTGTCCAAGGCATTGTTGATGTTTAGCAGTGTGGCTGGTAGCCACCCAGTAGAAACCCCTCTTCCCCCAAGTCAGGACCGTCTCCTGCTGGAAACCACAGCGCAGTGTTTCTGGATCCCAAAGCTGGGGCCTGTGGGTATCATTAGTATATCATTGGCATCACTTGTGATCTGTTATAGAATACACACTTCCAGTCTCACCTCATAAAATCAGAAGTTCCAAGTTTGGCTTGAGCAGTCTGTAATAATTCCCTCTGGGCAATTCTGATGGACCACCAGGGGGATAACTGATGGGAATACTTCAGGCAGGGTGACTTTACAAATGGACACAGTGTCTATTTACATACTGGCCTTCACACCATCAATCTGGAGTAGAGTTACTTTCTCCAGTCTCAGTGGCTCAGAGTTGGGTGAGCTGATCCTGCCTCTCTCTGGTTTTTAGGGCTCAGCTTTTCAACGTGACAGTGGAAGTCCCATGTCCCTTTTGGTCCAATCTTGGCCTTCACACTCATGCCCACACCTAGTCCCATAGTGAATACAGAAAACCCTTTGGAAATCTCTCCCTTTGTTTTTGGCATGTGTTAACGTTAATTTTCTTGGCTCGCTCTTTGCTTTCCTCAGATACTGCGAACACTGAACCGAACCTATATGAACATGAAGCAGAAGCCGGTTTGGAATGACTTAAATCCCAAAGCCGTGACTGCAGACGAACTCTTTGGGGTCATACAGCATGCCACCCGAGAATGGAAAGATGGCAAGTCCATAGCTCTTCTTCTGATGAACTAAAACTTCCCTCTTGTTCTCTCCAGAAAGCCATTTTTTTATATAAGCCAATTTCCATCTTCCTCACAGACTGACTGCTTACGTGTTGTATTGTTAGTAATAGAACAGATCACAGCAGTGAGACCATGTTATAAATTTGAGCAAGGTTTCAGGTAGTAACTTGATTTGCATCAAGCAGATCTAGTCTCCCAGCTGTATCATTTACCCACATCACTTAGAACAGGGGAGCTCACAAACCAGGGGAGAAGTCAATCTGAGCATTTCTAAAGTACCTGACAGATCACACCAGTGAGGTTCACTTCACATAGGAATTGCTCTCCATATCAAGGACTGAAGCCAGTGGAGTGTGTTTTCTTGCCCCGAAGGATCAGGCTGAATACTCCTAATTCAGAAATATGAAATGCTCTGAAATCAGAATGATTTTGACAATAGGTATTGGATTTTAAAACCCTCCAGATTCCTGACATGTTTAGATTAGGCATGTCCAACTGATAGAGTCTGTGCAAATATTCCCAAGTCCTTTGAAACCCAAAAAAATCTGAAATCAGAAGCACTTTTGGTCCCAAGGATTTGGGGCTTAGGGATACTCAACCTGTACTTGAGATAATCAGGCGACTTTGTTGAAATCACCATGACTACATTGCACAGTAAACTCTCTCATCTCGGCATTGTCCTGGAGACCCTCCCCCCTCTGATACCCTGCCCCCAACCTCACACAGATGGTGTAAGCTTTGTCTTCAGGATAAATACTGAATTCTGATTTATCCTATCTCCTGCCCCACAGAGGCCAACATGCTCCTGGTCTCACTGCATTTCACATTCCATAAAGAAGTATGAGCATGGTCCATACCCCCCCACCCCTGCCCTCCAGTGTACTGCCCATGAGAAAAAAGGCAGCCAAGATAGGTGCCATTGGCTCATGCCTGTAATCCTAGCTACTCAAGAGGCTGAGATCCAAGGATCACAGTTCCAAGCCAGCCTAGGCAGAACAGTCCATAAGACTCTTACCTTCAATAAACTACCAAAAAAAAAACCCCCAAAAGTAGAGCTGTGGCTCAAGTGATAGAGTGCTAGACTTGAGCAAAAGAAGCTCACGGACAGTGCCCAGGCCCTGCTCTGAGTTCAAAGCCATAGGACTGGCAAAAAAGAAAAAAAGGCAACAAAATTGCTTTATTTAGTTAATAAAAGATCTGGCAAGAGGAAGAATGTATATTTATTTTACAAGTACACAGCACTCAATTCCAGCATCTATCAGCATGATGCACTCTTTACTTTGTAGGTCTCTTCTCCTTCATCTTGCGAGAGCAAGCGAATCTCTTGCATGATGGACCCAAGTGGATAGTTCTGGATGGAGACATTGATCCCATGTGGATCGAGTCCCTGAACACTGTCATGGACGATAACAAGGTGAGGCAAGTTGCAATGCTGGGTTTCACACCCAGTCTTGGCTATGTTCTGAGATCCACCCAGCTGTCAGCATTAATTCCAGTCTTTATGCATCAACCTGGAGTTCTTTCTGTCATCACTGCTTTAATCAATGGCATTCTCCTGATGCTCTCTTAATTTCATAGTTCAAGAATCTAAAGGATTACATACATTCTCCTTGTGTCTGGGAATTTAACCACCTTCAGTGAGAGTGGGATACATAGCAGAGGGTTTAGTTTGCACATCTGACCATTTTCTAAGAGCTAGGCACAAATGACACCTTATATGGTTTTTCATTAAATATAGAATAGTTGGACAATAATAAACGTCTCGGTTGTTTAATAATTGCTGAGATTTATATATGGAGTTAAGTTGTTCCTAAGGCTGTACAATAGTGTTGAGATGTGTTCTGAACCATTCTGCTCTAGTTGATCTGGCATTTCTAGCAAAAAGAAAAAAGCAAGGTGATAACACAAGAGCTTGAGATACTCAATAAGCAACATGAGGTTCCTGGGGGATCAAGAGGGAGGAATAGGCAATGGAGTTGGGGGGTCCCTCCCAAACAGAACTACCAGCTGCACAACTAGCAATAATCAGTGCTGTGCACACAAGGATATTATTCAATGGCAAAAAGAGGTCTTGGTTTACAGACTCCTCTGAGGTCCCACACTGCAGCTTATAACCGCTGGCCTGCAGTTCTGAAGGAATTCTTTCCTGTGGTCCCTAGCCCCATATCTTATAATCCACTTATATTGGACTGAGTGATCATCACCACAGTTATTTAAAAGTCTCCCTACATAGTCCACTTAGGGGATTTTACTCTTGAGGATGGATCAAATCACCTCAGGGATGAACTTAGACCCTGCTTCAGACCTGGTTGTCACCGGGGACAGGGTGCTCACAGCTGCTGGCACTCCGAGTGGGGTAGGGAGTTCACCAGAGTTCCTCCAGCTCCCCATGGCAGTGACCACCATGCCGCCCCACCCAGGTGCTGACCCTGGCCAGCAATGAGCGGGTGGCCCTCACGCCCTCCATGCGGCTTCTGTTTGAGATCCACCACTTGAGGACGGCCACCCCCGCCACTGTCTCCAGAGCGGGGATTCTCTATGTGAACCCACAAGATTTGGGCTGGAATCCGTGAGTATTTCTTTTCTGCTTATGAAGTTGAAAAAAGAAATGTACATAACATAAAATTCACCATTTAGTCGTTGTTGAGTGCCTTTGGGATCAAACATATACAGATGTGGTTGTATAAACATCACCCCTGTCCAGCCACAGAACTTCAACTTTTTCAACTGAAAATGTTATCTATGAGGTAGCAATAGCCTATTCCTCCTTCTCCTGAGCCCCTGGCAACTCTTCTTCTATCTCTTGCCCTGAAGTTGATTGTTTTAGTTACCCTGGATAAATAGAATCATAGTGCACTTGTCCTTTTGTGATGAGTTTTATTAACTTTGTGGACTGTCTTCAACATTTATGTTGTAGCACATGTCACAATCCCCTTTTCAAGGATGAATAATATTCCATTGTATGCATTTGCCATAATTGATTTGTTCATTAATCAGTAGCGAAAGAGAGATATAATCTCCACACCATTTTCCTCCATCACTGACCCATAGATGGCCTCTCACATTCTCTCATACAACTAGACTGTCTCTATAAACCATTCCTCTTGGACTTTATTTATTTATTGTACTTTATTTATTTATTTATTGTTGGTTGTGGGGCTTGAACTCTGGGCCTGGTGCTGTCCCTCAGCTCTTCAGCTCAAGGCGATTGCTCTACCTGAGCCACAGTGCCACTTCTGGTTTTTTTGGTGGTTCATTGGAGATTAGTCTCATGGACTTTACTGCCCAGGCTGGCTTTGAATCGCATCCTCAAATCTCAGCCTCCTGAGTAGCTAGGATTACAGATGTGAGCCACCTGCATCTGGCTTGACAGTATACTATCAACAGTACATTATACTTATTTTAAAAAAAAAAACTATCATGCAGTCTTATGAAGAGCAGAGAGAGAGAGAGAGAGAGAGAGCTTTTTAAAAATAATCATCTTCCATTAACTTTTTCTGATACCTAAAAGACAAAATCTGATTTTCTCAAAACAGTATAGCCCCAATGTGAAGGTGCACTCCTGCAATCCCAGCTACTCAGAGGAAGTAGATCATATTCAAGGGCAGCCCGGCCAAAAGTTAATGAGACACCATCATCTCAATAAGCCAGAAATGGTGCTCTATGCCTGAAACCCTATCTGTTCAGGAAGACATAGGAAGATTATAGACTGAGGTTAGCCCTGGACAAAAATATGAGACCCAATTAGTAAAACAACTTGAATGCAAACCAAAAATGTCCGGGGGTGTGACTGAAGAAGGAGAGTACCTACCGAGCAAAACCCCAGAAAATCCAAGAAAAGACAAGCCCCAGCATTGCTGGAATCACTCTACATTCTGGTTGTTAAGTGTACTTATTATCAGTGCTTCCTACTTAATCAGAACTTTGAGTGATTACTTTTCATTTAGCTCTGAATTATTGGTAAGTAGCTCCCTAGTATGTTAGTTGGTATATCAAATTAATATTTTATAGGCTTTCAACTTATATAGACAGGCTTTCTACTTAGGGCACAGGACACCATTGCAGGGCCCTGGGTTGTAAACATTTATCAGTGATCAAGTTGGTGTCATGAGGAGTCCAGTGGAGAAGGAAGACATTTGAGATGATGGTCTCTATGGGGTTTTTACCTCTGTGTTTGTAATTCCTTTCTCGTTCCTAAATAATGGATGCCACAATGAATCAAGATAAATGCCTCCCCCAGGAACATGGACAGGTACAATCTATGCTATTTCCAGGGCTCAGAGATGGCCTCTTATGCTCTATATCTCTGCCTGCTAAGCACTAGCAAGAATTTCTTTTATCTTTTCATTAAGGAAAACATAGCCATGAAGACAGTTTTTCAAGGGACTGCTTGCACCAGTGGGCCATGCCTTCATCCTAGCTACTCAGGAGGCTGAGATCAGAGGATCTTGGTTCAAAGGCAATCCAGGCAGGAAAGTTCATGAGACACTTATCTACAATTAACCAAAATGCCAGATAGAAGTAGACTCAAGTGGAAGAGTGACAGCCTTGAGCAAAAAAGAAAAAGAAAAAAAAAGCGAAGGGATGGTACCCACACCCTGAGTTTGAGTTCTAGCACTGGCACAAAAGAATAAAAATAAAAATATTTGCTGCTTGAAAAGTTGAGTGAACCCATGGCCCAAGGCTCTGCAAGCTATGTAGTATGAGCTGTGGACGTGGCGAAGTTCTGCTTGTGAAGCCCCATGTTCTGTAAAATAGTCTGTCTGTTGCTTTTCAGATATGTGGCCAGCTGGATAGATAAGAGGCGACAACAATCGGAAAAGGCCAACTTAACCATTCTTTTTGATAAATACATCCCCGCATGCTTGGATAAGCTGAGAAGCAGCTTCAAGGCCATCACCACAATCCCAGAGAGTAGCCTGCTGCAGGTTCGTCCAGTGGGGCTTGACCAAGACAACACAAGGGTTCACTTGCTGAAAGGAGATGGAAAGAAGCTGGGAATGGTGTCAAACACTTGTAATCCCAACTACTCAGGAGGTGAAGATTGGGAGGTTAAAGGTTCAAGGCCTGTCTTAAGGTGGTACATGTCTATAATCTCAGCTATGCAGGAAATTGGAGGTAGGAGAAACTCAAACTCAGGCTGGTCAGGCAAGTAAAATAAAATGCTGCTCCCCAAATAGCTAAAGCAAACAGGGCCGGAGACATGGTTCTCTTGGTAGAGCATCTGTCTACAAAGCATGAGGCTATGAATTCAGATCCCAGTACTGCCACAAGAGAGAGTCAAGGAAGGGGGGGGGGGACAAAAAGGGAGAGGGGAGGGAGAAGCAAAGAGGAGAAAGGGAGAGAGGGAGTGGGGAGAGAGAATTGTTAGTTTGTTCCAACCCTCCTATCTCAGCCCTCCTATTACTTGGACTCTTTTGCAAACTCCAAGCACACTGTCAGATCACATCATTTGGGTTCTGTGAATTAGGACTAATGCCATATTGTATTCATTTTTCTGTCCCCCAATGATTTATATTGTTCCAAGCCTTCAGCAGGTACCAAATAGGTGTTGGAGGAATCACTATGTCCTTCTGAGTATTCTGGAATAGAATGGGAATATCATTACTAAAGCCATTTCTTTTTCTAGTCCTTGCCCAGCAAGGGTACTCAGTGTGTATATGAGTAAAAAGAAATCTGTGCAATTAGATGCTGGCCCAATTGTAAGAAAACATCTCTGCATTCTGCCGCATAGGTCCCCTACCCACAAGCTTCCTATTCTACATAGTCCTCAAGGCATTGTCCCTGTGTGTGAAGAATTCAGAAAAGTCCAGCACTCATTCTTGCTCTGGTCCTCCCCATGAGGCAGCTGAGAGGAGTGAAGGTTTTGTGGCCTGTTGTCATAGAAGCAAATGGAAATAATTGAGAAAACACAGAAAGGAAATGGGGAATCACAATGGAAGCATGAAGAAGAAAAGAAACTGACCTTAACCCTCACAGTCCTCCAAGTTTACAAAAAGATTTCCCCTCTGAGACCCTTGCTTTTTCCTGTAGGAGTAAATTGGCTTCTGTGTACTTTGTTACCATTAAGTAACTATGTGACCAAATTTGTTGGAAGCAAAATTAGAAAGAGTCAAGTATAATAGGAAAGGAAAGTTCAGGTTTTGGGGGGGGGAAGTAATTCACACACCAATTAAAGTAAACGATAGTATTCAGCAGTAATTATCTGAGGTATAATTTATTTCTGAAAGCAGGTCTGAATTTATTCATAATGAATTAATTATGGGGTTAGTCTAATTAGACTTCCTCTGGTGTAAGACTTGCAAACGCCTGCTCAAGTTCTTCCTCGAGTTGTCTTGTGTATTTGTGTGATTCTTTGAGGGGTGTGAACTTTTTCATTCAAGAATAGTGTGAAAAATAGGTCAGTAGGAATTAATATGACTTTTGCTCTCCCTAGTAGTCAGAAAAAGCATTTAATTTTGATCTCCTTTCAAGCTGCTGTTTTGTAAAGGCAGTCTGTTGTCTGTATTTCCTTGTTAAGTACAGGAATTTGAGGCCAAGATGATTGTAAAAAGGAGTAATTCACAATGACTACCTTAAGAATGAATGCACTGTTCCCCTGTATAGGAAACTTCTTTTCTTGACCTTTGTAAAGTATAGGAACTCTTTCAGGTTTTAACTATGGCTTTAGTCATTGTTGACTCAGACCCCAGAGTGTTTTTTAAGTACTGGGAGAGAAAAGAGAATTGTAAAGCTTATTGGAGTGTTTATCTCCTAACATTGCATTGAGACCCTTTGGTCTTTTGGTCTTTTATTTATTTATTTTTTTGTCCTTTGAGGGGTTGGAACTTGGGTCTCTGAGCTCTTCTGCTCAAGACTAGTGCTCTATCACTTTGATCCACATTGCTGGTTTTCTGGTGGTTAATTGGAGATAAGAGTCTCTTATGGACTTTCCTGCCCAGGCTGGCTTGGAACTGCAATCCTTAGTTCTCAGCCTCCTGAGTAGCTAGGATTACAGGCATATTATTTTAAATATTCCCCAGAGCAACCTGGTTTATCCTTAACAAACAGCAAATACATCTTCAGGGCTTTGCACTATTTTCTTGTGTGTGTGTGTGTGTGTGTGTGTGTATGCACGTGTGTACGTGTTGTTACAGGGGCTTGAACTCAGGATCTTGTGATTTTGCTTGGCTTTCTTGCTCAGCATTAAGCTCTACCATTTGATTAGCTGTTTTGCTGATTAAGTAGACATGAGTCTCATGAAGATCTAGATTCTGCCTATGAAAAACCTCTATATTTGTCTTTCCAAATTTATCTTTCTGGTTTAGGCAGTGGAGGTGTGGCTTAAGTGATGGAGCACTAGCTTGACTAAAAATGCCAAGCAAGAGAACGAGGCCCTGAATTGAAGCCTCAGTGTCAGCACAGGCACATGCACATGCATGCATGTGTGTGAGTACACACACACACATACACACACACACACACACGTCTGGCTTAAAATGATGATCTCCAGTTCTATCCAGTTCCCAAATGACATAATTTCATTTTTCTTTATGACTGAATAATATCACATTATCTATAAATACCATACTTTATTTAGCCATCCATCAGTTGATGAGCACTTAGGCTAACTATAAAAGTGGCAATTGTGAATTATACTGCAATAATCATAGGTGTGCAGGTTTAAAAAAAAGTCCTCAGATCCCAGCCTCCTGACTGTGATTATAGATATGAGACTCCAGTGCCCAGGCCATTGCAGTACTTTTCTTGATAACAAGCTGGTAAGTTTTACTAAAAGACTATGTCATATTACCACACTGGTACCATATAAGATAACAGAACTAAATCACTTCATTAGCTGGGCGCCAGTGGCTCACACGTGTAATTCTAGCTACTCAAGAGGCTGAGATCTGAGGATCAAGGTTCAAAGCTAGCCCGGGAAAGAAAGTCCATGTGGCTCTTATCTCCAATAACTCACTAGAAAACCAGAAGTGGTGCTGTGGCTCAAGTGGTAGAACGCTTGCCTTAAGCTGAAGAGCGCAGAGTTCAAACCCCATGACCAACAACAACAACAACAAAATCATTATTTTCATGGAAACTATTGCCATCTCTCCTGGCTAGAAAATAAAGGCACACGTACAGTTCAATGTGGGACGTTATGAAGATCTAGAGTCTCCTCCAAGCTACAGGACAAGAGTATATTGTGATAATTAAGGAGACTGTGGTAATTAAGGAGAAATGGTTTTGTATTTGTTACTTGTTGGAATCTCCCATGGTAAGAACCCTGCCACAATCATACCTCAGTCTTGCCAAGATTACCACGAACATGAGTTGTTAGGACAGCACAGAGCAGGGCCATTTCTCCTACAGGGTTAAGTTCCTGATGAGCATTGCCTCCAAGGTGAAATTTTGTGTGATGTTCAAATATGTCAGAGGTTAGGAGGTGCCAGTCCAACTTTCTAAATATATGGTAAGAGGGGAAAAATGGCTGTCCCAGTCTTAATGGAAGTAGATTACCATCTGGTAGAATCTTAGCTATGCCAAAGCTACCACGAAGCAGCATTCATGAGGAAAGATGTCTTCAGGATGGCTTTAAGTGAGAAAGTAGATTTCTTGTTGACATAAAGTAATTTCTTATTGACATAAAGTGAATAGGGATAAATATTTTCTTGTGTGTGCATGTGCACATGTGTGTGTGCAATGCATCATATTAGGGCTTGAACTCAGGGCCTGGTTGCTGTTCCTGAGTTCTTTTTCTCAAGGCCAGTGCCCTACCACTTAAGACACACTTCCACTTTTTTTGTAGTAAATTGAAGATAAGAGTCTTATAGACTATCCTATCCCAAGTGGCTTCAAACCAAGATCTTCAGATCTCAGCCTCTTGAGTAGCTGGGATTATAGGCATGATCCATTGGCACACAGCTGAATATTCTTTTTTGTTCTTTTTTCTTCTGTATATTTCTGGTTTACCCAGTGATTGTTATTTCAGCTATTTAATTTTTTTGCAAATACCTACATAGACTTTTGTTTTTTTTCCAGTCCTGGGACTTGAACTCAGGGCCTGTGCAGGTCCTTGAGCTTCTTTTTGCTCAAGGCTAATGCTTTACCACTTGAGCCTACAAGCACCACTTTTGGCTTTTTCTGAGTAATGTATTGGAGATAAGAGTGTCATAGACTTTCCTGCTTGGGTTAGCTTCTGTGATCCTCAGTTCTTAGCCTCCTGAGTAGCTAGGATTAAAGGAGTGAAGCACTAGAGCCTGGCCTCTATGTAGTTTTTATTTTTATCAGGTATGACCTTTATGGAAGTCATTTGCACATGATAGAAACAAATCTTTCATTTTCATGTTACCAAGAATGGTGATGCATGCCTGTAATCTAGGAGGATTGTAAATTCAAGGCCAGGCCTGGCTATATAGTGAGAACCTGTGTCTAGCAAACAGAAATTAACAAGTAAACAGCCAAAAAATAGTTTGCTAGTACTCATAGGTTCAAAGTGATGGATTTTGGTACTATCGACTTTGATACCCAAAGTGGTCATCTTCTAATATAGCAAATTTGCAAAATTTTGTGAAGTTGTATCATCTCTTAAAGATAAAGTGCAGTTGACAAAAAATTGTGTGATAGGGCATGATGGCTTACCTCTGTAATCCTAGCTACTCTGGAGGCGGAGACTTGAGGATCAGGGTTTGCAGCCAGCCCAGCCAGGAAAGTCCGTGAGACTTTTAGCTCCAATTAACCAGCAAAAAGCTAGAAGTGGAGCTTTTTCTCAAATGGTAGAGCCCTAGCCCTTGAGCAAAAAAGCTCAGGGACAATGTCAGGTGCTGGATTCAAGCGCTCCCCCACTTTGAATATACTGCATATTTTAAAAGCTGACATGGTTCCACAATGATGTCTTTGTTTTTATTTATAGACTATTTGTGCACTTTTGGAGTGTCTGCTGACTCCTGAAAATGTCCCTCCTGACAGCCCGAAGGAGGTCTATGAAGCCTACTTCGTCTTCACCTGCATCTGGGCATTTGGAGGTGCACTGCCCCAGGACCAGGTAGCCCCAAAACTGGCTTACCCAACTGGTAGTTCTGGGTTGGAGCTTATAATATACAATCAAGTCTTACTATTATGTGATGGTAAATGTCTGCTGCTTCTCCTGTTCTCTCCTGAGCCTGGGCATCATGCACACAGTCCCACACTGTTGATAGTTGTCACCTTGGATACCAGGGCTGCATGCATAGCTGTCAGTCCATGCCCTCCCTCTGGAGCATCGCCTTTGATCTTCAAGGCCCATCCCAGTGCACCCAACATGCACTTGTTCCTCTGCCCCACACCCAGCCTTACCCTCTCCTTATCCTGTCCTTCACCCCCAGGGGCACATTCTTCCCTTCTGCTCTGGGTAAAATCCTGGGGCATTGCTTCTGCTTCCCTTTATACCCTTTATTCCTATATACATGGTTTCAGACACTTCTTTTGAGTTAACATACATTTATAACGTAAGAAGGTTTCATTGTGATAAGTCCATACATGTACGCAGTGTACTTTGAACGAACTCATTCACTTTACCATATTCTCATTGCTTCTCTCCCACCCTTTTCAAATTGCATTGGGTGAATTGCATTATTATATATAATGTTAATTCATAATATATATTTCATTATATAGTGTATTAGTATATTATATATGCTATATAGACACACATACATACATGGAAGAACATTGTCATGCCACTCCGTATTCCCCCATTTCCCTTCTCCCCTCCCCTGATCCTCTCCTATACTGTCCCCCCTTTTATGTGCCTGTCCCATTGTCAGCTGTTTCCATCATCAGTCTCACAAAGGAGCTGTTGAGTCTGTCCTCTCATAACCTCTACAGCTTTAATTCAGGAGAGAAGGATCTTAGAGGACCTGGGCTCTCACAATGTCTTAGTCTGCTCAAGCAGTGATTCCAGATACCATAGATGGGGAGACTTCAACAACAGAAATGTGATTCTCATCATGCTGAGACTTGAAGGCCAGGATGGAGGGGCTGGTATGAGGTGCCAGCAAGTGTGGGTTCTGGTGAGAATGGCCTTTCTTGCACATGGCCTCTTCCTCACCGGGCCCACACACACAGAGGGAAACATAGCCCTCTCCCTGGTTTCTTCTCATAATGGTGCTCCATCCATCATGATGATCCACCATCATAGCTTCTTCCAAACCCAGTCCCCCTCCGGTGCTGTTCATTGGCGTGGAGCTTCCATGCATGGCCTTGTGAGTTGGAGCTGTGTTCCAGAGCATAATGTAGTCTTCAAATGGCTGTCCCTGCCTCCAGCTACTGCTGCTTAGTTCTTCTCCCAGACTGTTCCCAAGTAGCCAGTGGTGACCCCAGTCAACCCAGGTGGGACCATTGCTCTTTTTGTTTTGCTAGTCCTGGGGCTTGAACTTAGTGCCTGGGTGCTGTTCCTGAGCTTCTTTTTCTCAAGGTTAGTGCTCTAGCACTTGAGCTACAGCTCTACTTCTGGCTTTTTCTATGATTAATTGGAGATAAGAGTCTCATGACCTTTCCTGCCTAGGTTGGCTTTGAACTATGATCCTCAGATCTCAGCTTCCTGAGTAGCTAGAATTATAGGTGTGAGCCACCGGCACTCAGTGGGGCCATTGCTTTTCATGGCTCTTTTCTTCAGCTTGCAGGGCTTCTGATGTGAGGAAAACACTTGAAAAGCTTGCACACATTCAGATACACACATAAACATGCATACTTACATACACACATATGCACACTCCTCTTGCCCACACATGTATATACATATACACACATTATATGCCCATGTACATATTCACATACATACCTACGCATACATATGTATACACACTCATACTCCCATATACTCACATATGCAAAATCATACACACTCATGTGCACACACACTCAACACACTCAGTTACACACTTAGATACATCTACACTCATATGAACCCATATACATGCACATAGCATGAATACACACTCATACACATTCACACATATATACACTTAAATGCCCATGCATGCATTCATGTATGTATACACATATTTACATGCACTGACATGCATGCAGACACACAGACACAAGGTAAGAAATGGATCCAATTCTTACCATTCACCTGAAGCCGTAGATTTGTCTCATGCAGTTCCTATAATGATTTTTTTCCCAAGTATCCTCTTTGTGTGGATGACACCTAGCTCAGTGTGGTAATAGAACTGTTCCCCTGGTGGGAAATAGGGCAGCAAAGTTCCCACCTTCATTTGTGCTCCAAAGGCCTCACCCCAGTCTGACCTTAGCATCCCTTGTCACCATAGTGACCTCAAATGGCTGCCCTCTTTAAGTTAAGAACAAATAGCATATATTTTACACAGAGATCACAGCCCTCCAATATCTTTCCAGGTATAAATACAGAATGTCCTCAGAAGGCATCACAACCATGAGTGGCTCATATTTTGCTGGATCATTGCTCTGGAGTCCAAAATAAGTGGCTGATGTGGTCTATGGGTCAGTTCTGCCTCTGGTCACTAGGTTATCATAGCTCATATCTATAAATACACATGGCCACCTCATGGCCTCATGGATCTTATTTCAGCCCGTGTCAGAAGTCAGATGCCCTCCTATGAGCTGCACAGATATCTGCAGAGCAGCTACTGCTCCTGCTTGGAAGGAGAGTCAAGTGTGAGTAGCTTTTCCTGAAGGCATGGTTTATATAGGTGCAGGTCTCTTCTTCACAAAGGCCAGGGTTGGATTCACCCCACTACCACCATATCATGGCTTTTCTTGTGTCTTTTACAAGGTTTCTCATAGTCCAAGCCTGGAAATCAGGAAAGATGTGGACTAGATGTAATTCCTAGGCTGAGATGATAGCTCAGTGGTAGAGTGCTTGCCTCGCATGCATGAGGCCTTGGGTTGGATTCCTCAGCACCACATAAACAGAAAAAGCTGGAAATAGTGCTGTGGCTCAAGTGGTAGCTTCAAGCGCTAGCCTTGAAGCTGAAGAGCTGAAGGGCAGTGCCCAGGCCCTGAGTTCAAACCCCACAATCGACCAAAAAAAAAAATCTATGGATGTAATTCCTCTGCTACCTCCCAGTGTTTCCTAATCTCTCCAGTTTCTTGCCCCCAGCAGCCCTACACTCAGTTACTTAAGCTGGGAAAACCAGTTACCTTCCACTCCCATCTACTCTTGCTGCATTAATACTAATGTTATCAGAGGGGTTAGGAACATGAATGGAAAAAGACTCAAGAAATGGCCTGCAGACTGCCATTTAAGTCAGCAAAACAAGTTCTTAAGGAATGTGCTTGGGGCCTTACAAAGGCCATATTATTCAATCTTCAAAAACAATATGAACCTATATGGCTACCACTGTTCTTCTTTTAGAAATAAGGAGTGAAAGCTTAGTTAAGTAACTTATCCTGCTAAAGGGCACATAGCTAACCAATGCCGGAGCTGGGTTCAAACTAATGGGCTCAGGACTTTGCAAATGAATGGCCGAGGCCATTGCAAACAATCTCCAAAGTGCACCTACCCACTCTTCCTGAGTACCACTGTTTCTTACTTGGCTTCTGAAGTTGCCTCCATTTGTCCCAGGATTTACTATCCACTTAGCACTCAGTGATTTCTTAAAATACAAATTGAGTCACATGATTTTTATCTACAATACAGGTATCCAAAATTCAGGTTCCTATTGCTTTAATACAAATAAAGTGGGGTTCATTGATGATGATGCATCATACTCATAAATTGATAATGTTGTTCAACTAGATAATAAGAAAACAAAAGTTACAATTAAACATTGTCATATTATTTACAAGTATCTGGGTCTGACCCTACCTATTTTTCCCTACCCCAGTGGCACTGTCCAGTGTCTTGAACACATAAAGTTCTTACAGATCACAGGTGGGGCTCTTTCTGGTGTTGTCTCCTCCCTGATCTGAAGGTCACTGCCTTAAATGTGACCTGCCTTAAAGCAGGTCACCCCTGTGGCTCTCAATCATTGGCAATTTCTACCAAGGCAGAAAGGCTTGGCGTTTTATTTTGAATGAATTGAGGAATCAGGAACTTGTCACCAAACTTTTTTTGGTGAGGTAGTTTTCAGGTGAAGCAATTTTTTTTCTGTTCAAACAACAAGAAATACTTCTTTTTATTATCACTATGATATTTTGTTGAAAACAATTACCACTCTTTTTAATTCATTTTAATGTAGTCTATTTTACTGTGATAATGGATATTTGAGAGAACACACTTTGTTTTTATGGACCTGATTGTTAAACTTGATTTTGTTACATATTTTATGTTCTTATAGATATATATATATATATATATATATATATAATTTTAATTCTCATCCAATTTCTTTGTAAAAGCATGTATTGGGGAAAATGAGATCTGAAGTCTGGCAGTAGACACACATGATAGTTCTAGGGTTTACCAAAATCTACTAGGCCAGGCCATCCTATGGGGTTAGAAAGGTTTTCATTCATTCTGGTACTCAGAAACTGTTTTTCTTGCTCTATGTTTCTAACATCCTAATCTAGCAACAGGGAGTTTGAACTGTTGTTAGGTAAGATCCAAGGCCTCCCAGTCCAGAGAGCATGTGTGCTGCCTCTGTACATCTTCTGGGGACAGGATTTGGTCTCTGTAGACATTTCAGCCAGATGTTTCGGCTTCATTCCGCTGGAAGCCAAACCTTTACCTTTCTCCATCTCCTTTTCTGTGTGGGGATCCAGGTTTAGAATGTTTTTGTAGTAATTTGTAGGAGGGATGAACTTTGGTGGTTACTCAGGAGGCTGAGATCTGAGGATGGAGATTTACAACCAGTCCAAACAGGAAAGTCTATGAGACTCTTGTCTTCAGTTAATCACCAAAAAGCCAGAAATGGATCTGTGACTCAAGTGGTAAGTAAGCACCAGCCTTCAGCAAAAAAAAAAAAAGCCTGGAGACAGCACCTAGGCCCTGAGGACTGGCACATACACACACACACACACACACACAGGGCCCGGATGCCACGAACTTGGAATAAAGCACAGTATTGAATAATATTGCCAGTCTTGCTAATGATATTGCCAGTCCTCTTATTGTCCTCATTTTTCCACCAGTTGCTATAAACGTTGGTAGAAATCAGCACCAACATAGATAACCACTGTCCTGTGTTTCTTGGTGCAAAACTTTGTGTCATGGCATTGTTAGATTGGAAACCTGAGAGATGATCAAAGGCCCAACTTTACCTTGGTTACATGTGAATAACTATGCCTCTACACATGTACCTCATGGCTGTAGGCCAATTACAGATCAACTTATATGGTAGGATTGCTCACTACAACTGTTTGTCTATCTAGCTATATCTGTTTGTCTGTCTGTCTAGCCATCCAGCCATCCATCCATCCATGCATCTATCCATCTGTCTCTCTGTCTGGTGAGTTCCTCAACTCCATATCTGGGGTTTCATTTGTGATTTGGCTCTGCACCAGGGTTTGGAGATTTTATGTGATTTCCCAATTACTTTCAGTGTACAATAAGGGGTTCTTTTGGTCCCTTTAGCTCTTCAATTGCCAAGCTGACTTCAGTCGGTGGTGGCATAAAGAGATGAAAGCTGTGAAGTTTCCATCCCAGGGAACCATCTTTGATTACTATCTGGACCACGAGACCAAGAAATTCTTGCCTTGGGCTGACACAGTTCCCCAATTCAGTATGGATGCAGATGCACCTCTACAGGTAGGTGTGTGGAATCATGCCAATTTGAGCCTTTGTTTCAGAACATTTCATTCTTACCAGATGGAGAAATCTTTGTGTTGACATGCACAGCAAATGCCAAAAATGCTTGGTGAGCTGGCTTATATTTTTGCAATCTTTTCTTTTCTTTCTCTTAATTCTGTGGTAACTTTTTTCTTTATGTTTTCCTGGAACCTTCATGAGTTTGGGGAAATTGGAGGCATCATTAAGATAATTCACTGATTATTGTTTCTGAGCTTCTGTAAATTTCTTAGCACTTTTCACTTATAACTTCCTTCTTTGACCCTAACCCTAGATTTCCAAGGCAGAAATGGCCAACCTTCTTTATTGTTTCTCTCCATAGACTGATTCTCCACCTACCTTTCTCTTAAAGTGAATTATTCTTTGTTGCCTTATTCTGCTGTAATCTTATTTCCTGTTTATTATATTTATTTCTAAAAATCATTATTTGCTCATACCATAGCTTGAAATCAGGACCCCAAGCTCTTACCTGACTTATTTGCTCATGGATGGCTCTCTACCACTTAAGTCATGCCTCCAGTTTGGCCTTTTGCTGCTTATGGATGACTATGGACTATATCTACCAAGTCTCAACTTCCTGAGTAGGAGTACAGGCATGAACTACCAGCACTCAGCTATCAAAATCATTTTTATTGATTTTGAACTTGTTATTTCAAATAGAACTATGTAAACAGGGTGTAGATGATTTCTTCTATATCTGCAACCAGACAGCTAGTGTCCAATAACAGAAAACCCGCAGCATGTATTTCCTTCAGCTGGGACTAGAAGCTAAAACTGGATACCACAAACAGGCAGTTACTTATTCACCATGAGTCTAGAAGTCCAGGTTCAAAGTGTTGGCAGGTTGGGTTCATTCTGAGGGCTATGAAGCCCCTCCCTCTTAGCTGCTGGTATTTCCCTGCAATCTTGGTGTTCTTGGCTTATGGTAGCCTGACTCCAGTCTTCACCTAATATTTTTCCTATGTGTGTCGCTGTATCCAAATCTGTCTCCTCTGCTTACATTAGTTTGCTAGTATAATGCACTGAGTGGCTCAAACAATAGAAACATATTCTAGCATAGTTCTGGAGGCTGTAAATCCGGGACTGAGGTGTTGGCAGGCATCCTGTCCTGAGGCCTCTCTTCTTGGCTTACAAGAAGTGGCGCCTCTTGCTGTGTCCCACATGGTTTTTTCTGTTTGTGACTCCTTGGCTACTACCTCCTTCTGTGCCCCAATTTTCTCTTCTCACAAGGCCATCAGTTACATTGAATGAGGTCCAATCCTAGTGGCCTCATTTTAACTTGGGCTTCTCTTAAAGGCTCTGTTTCCAAATACACATACCAGAGTACTGGGGGTTAAGGCTTCAGCATAGGAATTTTAGAAACGACAAAACTCAGCTTATAAACACTCTGCCCTCTGGACTTTCTAGATCCTATGTCCTTCTAACATGCAAAATCCACTCACTTGTCCAGCTGGCCAAAAGTCTTAACCCATTCCACCATCCATTTCAAGTTCTAAATCAATATGCACTATCATATATCAAGTGTTTTGAGACAGAAGTCTTTCCCAACCTTAAAACCAGAGAAGTTATCTCTTACAAAAAAAAATACTCTGGGGGGACAGCAGTAGGATAGACTTTTTATTCGAAACAGGAGAAAACAGAAAGTGCCCACCTGACCTCAAATTTCAAAGTCTAGCAAGGAAAATTCAATTCGATCATTACTATTTAAGAATAATCCTCTTTGGCTTCGTGCTGTTCTCTGGGCCCACTGAGGAGGCAGTGTTGTCCCTTCAGTGCAGTGTTGACAACTTAAATGTAGTTTGTCCCTGAGTTGGCAACTGCACCCCCATGGTCCCCTCAGTGGTCCTGGCTCTGAGGCATGGGGTGGTAGCGTCCTGGCACACTGAGATCACAGCCATGTCTTACTCTCCAGAACTAAGAAGAAGACAGCCTCATCCTGTGCCTTGTGGGCCCATGGTAACAGTGGTAACTCTTTTCATCTTTCAGTTGCCTAGGCAGTCATTTTTCTCTTTTCTTAAAAGATAACATGTTTGCAAACATGTCTTGTTTTATAGAATCCAAAAAGTCTTACAGCCCTGCTTCATTCCATCCATCCTGCCTCTATCCCTCTATTGAGGGACTGGGGTCCCTCAATCCCCTTCAAGGTCTAAGGACGTAACCTAAGAATTTCCTTCCAGGCCCTACCTCCTTATTCAAGGTTCTAGTAACATCTAACACTGCCCACAGTGGGGACCAAGCCTTTAGCACAAGGCCCTTTGGGGGAGTCATTCATCTAAACTTCACTAAGTGAACTGGGTCAAACTGTGTGGGATCTGTCAGGAAGGAAGAAGCAGAGACAAGTGTATAAGGATCCAGTGATGACTATTACAGCTACTTTGTATATTTTGGAATCTCTTCTCTTCTTCATCCTGCCTAAAAATGTTATTTAACTGGCTGAGAATTACACTTGAACAAAAAGTCCCTAAGATACAAACACTGATACCACATATTGGTTCACTGTATCAGCAATATCTTGTATTCAGATTTTTGTGGTCTTACTATACATGCAAACAGCTGTTCCAGATGTGGCTATTTGATTAACAGTCTATTAACTTATTAGAAAAGAACCATGGGAATCAATAATAATAATAGTAATAATAATGGCAAGTTAGCAGCATTTGTTTATCATGGATCCACCCCTTTTTCAAATGCTGTACAACAACTTCTTATGGATCGTTACTAGCCCCTGTTCACATGTGGGGAAACAAAGACAACAAGATTAATGTGTCACAGTTCCATTGGTAGTAAGTATAAAATGGCATAGTCCTGATCAAGGGGCTTTCTAGAACACTAGAACTGAATTTTTAAATCCTGGAAAAAAAAAACTAAGAAGAGTTGGTTACACTGGAAAAGAAGAGCAGGATTCAAACCCTGGCTCCAGAATTCACGCCCTGCAAAGCATCGTGTATGGGAGGTGAGATGGGGCTCTGTCCTCCAGCAGATTCGGGCAACATCATTGGCTAGGACACTTGTCCAGTTTCCTAGGCCCTCTAAGCTTTAGCTTCATAGTCTCTGACATGGAAATCATAATAAGAACATCCTCATGTTATATGTTATAAATGCCTGTACCTGTATCATGTGGCACCACACATGTAACTGGCTTAGTAGTGTGCCACATACTTGGACCTAGTAAGTGTTACTTATTGGTATTATTATGTGATGAAAAGGGATGATAGCCAAAGTCAAAAGAAGATGGCAACTTAGTGTGCTGGTAGCTGATGTCTATAATTCTAGCTAGTCAGTAGCCTGGGATGTCAAAAACTCTGGTTCCAGCTGTGTACTCGTGGCTCACACCTGTAATCCTAGCTACTCAGGAGGATCATGGTCAAAAGCCAGCCTGAGCAGGAAAGTTCATGAGACTCTTACCTCCAATTAACAAGCAGAAGCCAGAAGTGGAGCTGTGGCTCAGACTGGTAGAGCACTAGCCTTGAGCTGAAGAGTTGAGCCCAGGCCCAGAGTGCAAGCCCCACAACTGGAAAAAAAAAAAAAAAAGATCAGGGGCAGTACTCAGGTCTTGATTTCAAGCCCTCTAACTAACTAAATAAAACTGTGGTTCAAAGTCTGCCCAAGCAGAAAAATCTGTGAGTCTCTTATCTCCAAAATAACCAGCAAAAAGCCAGGTTGGTTAGAGTACAGTAAGCAAACAAGTCAAATGAGAAAGTAAGGTCTTGAATTGAACACAGTCTACCTTTCAGGAGGCCTGGAATATAACTGAGTTTAAAAGCAACTTTTGAATAAATGTTCATACCACAAAGATGATCTATAGTGATCTTCGAAATACTCAGCTGTGCTCAGAATATAATAACCAGCTAGGAAAGAATGTCATTTGCTTGTTTGTACTGCTTATGAACAATAGGATCCTAGAAGTAGTTCCCCCAGCCCTTGGCCACCCAGAAATGTACCCAAATGTCAACTATCTATTAATCACTGTGTGAAATTTGAGTTTGAAATTTAAGTTTGACCACCAAGAAATGCATCCAAATGTCAGCAGTCTATTAATCATTGTGCAAAATTTGATTTTCTGTCTTCATGTACTATCCTCTGTTCTTATCTTAGATTTTAAGCTGTGTTCCTTGAGTCTAAATTTTATTTATTCATGTTATTCATTTTATTTTATTCTCTAAGCCATTCCAAAACCTTTGTGAAACAATATGCTATGTTTTCAAAGTATGATTTAAGCTTTAGAGCAAGTATAGAGTTTTTGCTAAAAAACTGTAGCAAGCCCTTTTTTAGTTTATTTTTTCAGATAGGGTCTTCTGCTCTTGCTGGACTTAGTTTTGCCTTGAACTTCAAGTTCAAGGCATTCCAAATGTGCTTTCAATTTGTGAATATTCCACTGTAAAGTCACTGTTGTCCCCTAAGCTGGTCTATTTCCACTCAGGCATGGATTTCATTTCCGTGGGCCAAGGCATTGCTCCAAATCACATTCACTTCACAAGTGGCTTGACGTTTCAGGTGTTTGGCCAGCTGCTGAAGAGTGAAGGACACTTGGTTGCTTGCCACTCTGTTCCCTTGGTGCCTAAGGCCAGGTTGGGGAGAGGGTGGCAATCTGTGATTAGGAGCCTTGAGGCATATCAATTAGTTCCTTTGGCTATGGCATTGGGATGCCTCCACTGGTCCACTGAAGCTGTGTTGTCTGAACTCAGACGACTCAGAATCAAGTAGATTCTATCTTCTTTGATGTTAAATCACGCTGAAAACTCTTTGGATCTCAATTCTTAAGTGACCATGTGAAATTTTGATGTCTCTCTCTCTCATCCTCGTTCTGTTTCCTCCCTCCCCCCAGACTGTTCTGGTTCACACAGCAGAGACAACTCGTCTTAGGTACTTCACCAAGTTGTTGCTTAAGAAAGGAAAACCACTCATGCTAGTAGGTAATGCAGGAGTTGGAAAAACAGCATTTGTGAGTGACACACTGGCAAGTCTCTCTGAAGATTATATAGTGTCCCGGGTGCCTTTCAACTACTATACGACGTCTGCAGCCTTGCAGAGTAAGTGTGTCTCCCTCCATTGCTATACCGGAAATGAGATCAGCAGGTGCTAAGGCTGGAGCCAGCTTGCAGCCCACAAGGAACACTGCTCCTCCTAGGTTTTCCACAGCTTGCTCAGTCCTCAGTTGAATTTTTACTTCTCATCATCCTGGGTAAATATACTTTGTTTAATTGTCATTGAGAGTTTAGATTTTTATTTTATATGTGATCATATTTGAGTAATTATTCTTTAGAAAAGCAAAAATTTCCTCTTTTAAGACAAAATTTTGCCAGTCCTGGGGAGGTTGAACTCAAGGCCAGGGCACTGTCTATGAGATTTTTCAGTCCTGGGGGTGTTGAACTCAGGCTTGGGCACTGTCTATGAGATTTTTTTGCCTCAAGGGTAGCACTCTACCATTTGAGCTACAGCTCCACTCCCAGCTTTTTTAGTAGTTAATTGGAGATAAGAATCGTATAGATTTTTGTACCCATGATGGCTTTGAACTGCAGTCCTCAGATCTCAGCTTCCTGAGTAGCTAGGATTAAGGCGTGAGCCACCAGCACTGGCTTCTATCCTCTGTATTTATTATGTTACCTCTAAACTACTTGGTTGCTTTTTCTTAATTGATTTCGTGGAGCCAAACATTATACAGGAAAAGCTCAACGAAAGGATTGACTCAGGACAAATTCATCAAAATTGTACTGATGTTAACAACAGGACACAAATTGCTAATTAAATCTCAAAATAAGTTTTAAAAATAATTTTCAAGTGGCTGAATAAATATCAATGTCCTCAAAAGAAGAACAGAATCTGGGCTTTCTCACAGTCAGGAAGGATGTGGAAGTGGGCATGAGATGTAGAGAGGAACTGTGTAAGATCTGATATTGGCAGCCACCGGGCCAGGCTGAAAGAGAGGCAGCAAAACTCTAGTCTTGGTAGGTCATTGAAACTTGAATTTCTCTGAATACAGGTTCCTAGGAAAGAGCTGTGTACATGCGCTCTGTGTGTGTGTGTGTGTGTGTGTGTGTGTGTGTGTGTGTGTGTGTGTGTGTGTTGTTAGCTGTATCAGTGAAGAATGATAGAACTTCCTTATACACTTATATCAACTCAGCCAACAATGCTTTTTCTTTAAAAATTGTCTTTATGGCATGAAATAGCTAGATGCAAAGTCAGCATTATTTTATTCATTTCTTTAGCAAATACTATGTTTTCACAGGCCTTATGCCAGGTATATGTTTTTGTTGTGGTGGTGGTTGTTTATAGACATGAAGGAAAGAATCCATTTATGACTTGTAAATGAAGAATTAGGCTATTGTTCAGCAATTGAACAAATTATGTAGCTATGATCTGAGTTGACCTAGTTCATTTGCAGCAGGGTTGTAGACATAAATAAGATTTAGAGATAGCTTATTAAAATGAGGACTAGAAAGAGCTCATGTTGTCAATGTGCTTTCAAACCCTTGAGGCAGTGTGAGTGAAGGCTAGCTTTAGGATAGAAGGTTCAGCTTAAGCACATGTGGAAGGGAGGAAAGTTGTGGGGCAGATTTAATGAGCTGACAGATGTGCAGGAATCAGGTTAAGAAATTATGGAAAGCCACAAGGCCGATAGGGTATTCTGCAGATAAAATGGACCAACTGCCCAGTTTGTCAAAGGAATTTTCTGTTTCATTGGACATTAGTGTTAAAATTGAGGCAGTTCTAGGCAACTTGGGCTAACTAACCACTGTAATAGAGAATCAGACAAAACAAGAGGAGACAGCATTTCACTTGGTATGAAGTGAACCAGTGAAGGGAGTAAGGAACTGATCAGGCAGGAGCCATCTTTTAGGAAGAAGAGTCTGAGGTAGGAAGGGCAATCCTTTGAGCAGTGTACTAGATAAATGTAATATGACCCTCGGCCAAAATTGTAGAAAGGGAAGTGACAAGTTGAGAACATAAGAAAATGATGTGAGGTACCATTTACAGAATGTGGATGAGCAGATAAGGGACTAGGAGAAAGGTTCCTATGAAATTTCATATCTAACCAGATGGGAGGGTGTTAAACTGCTAAGCGGATACACAGGATACAAAAGGAAAGAGGTGGGCTAGGAGGGGAAAGTGACGACATTAAAACAGAAAGATAGACGGGGTGGGAGCCAAACAGCTAGGTCCAATGGAACTGAAGTCCAGCCAGTATTTGAACATGTGCAGATGTTACCTGAAAAAAGGTATTTCTACATTGTACCTGTCTTTGTTCAGTTAATTGTTGATTTAACAAATGACTTATTTGTTGTGGTCATCATCAGGAGTAAAGCCATGGATGTGGCAATGTCTTTGCCTAAGTTTTTTGTTTTTGTTTTGTTGCAAGTCCTGGGGCTTGAACTCTAGCCCAAGCACTATCCCTGAGCCTCTTTGTGCTCAAAGCTAGCACACTACCACTTGAGCCCCTGCACCACTTCTGGTGTTTTCTGAGTAGTTGATTGGAGAGAAGAGACTCTTTTCTGCCCTGACTGTCTTTGAACCACAATCCTCAGACCTCAGCCTTCTGAGTAGCTAGGATTACAGGCATGAACCACTGGTATTAAATAATGGACAAATGATCTTTGATACCAGGGGACAAATGAATCAAGAGGAGAAGAATTTAAGGGCAGGGAGAATAAAAACAGAGAAGTTACATTCTGCCAGACATGGGTAGACAGAATCTATATTTATTTCAGGAATCCTTGAGAAACCTCTAGAGAAAAAAGCTGGTCGGACTTATGGTCCAGCAGGGAAGAAAAAACTGATTTATTTCATTGATGACATGAACATGCCTGAAGTGGACTTTTATGGCACTGCCCAGCCTCACACTCTGATTCGACAGCACATTGATTATGGACACTGGTAGGTAACTCCGTCTCTTTCTCTCCTTGAATCTGATTATTAAAATAGATGAACATTGCCTGTAACATGTTTGGGATTTACTTTGTATCATTTTTGCATCACATTACATGCCAGAGTTTTGCTTCAGAGATTGGATAGGAAAGTAACCTAGAAACATAACTATCCAGAAAATATGTCCTTTTTAAAGAATAATCTCTCACTAAATTGCTAAAAGGAAACTTAACCTTATTATGTAGGATGTAAGCATGTGGTTGTATTGAACTTTAAAGTCCATGACATCAAACACAGGACAAGCTCCACCCACCAAGGCTTGTTGTGGGTATGTGCAAGACTTTCATTCAGAAAGAGCCATTTGAGAATCAATGAACCAGTAGTAGTTCTATTGATTCAGCATCAGATCTTGATCCTGGCATCCAAGGAGCTCTGTCAGGTTTCTGGGCTGTTTTTGATGGCTCCCAAAATATGACTAACAAGGTTAACCTCAAGGTCATGCCAGAGTTGGTGATGAAATTCTTTATGATCTGTCAGGTTGCCTTGTTTTTGTGTCTCTAGCTTCAGAATTTAAGGCTCCCTTTTCTGCCCTTCAGGTATGATAGACAGAAGGTGATGCTTAAAGAGATCCACAACTGCCAGTACGTGGCCTGCATGAACCCCATGGTGGGTAGCTTCACAATCAACCCGCGGCTGCAGGTAGGGCCTTCAGTTCTGCTCTCTGCCATACCCCTCAAATGTCACACTTGAAATGGTATCTCTTGTTTCTTAATGCTTTGGGGTACAAAGTAAGATTTCTGCTGGACATTTAGATAGGCTTAAAAGCTTTTGCTTATTATTAATTATAAATTTTTAGAGTAAATTTAAGTTGTTAGCAAAATTAACTGAAAGAACAGTGCTCCTTGTAGTCCCTCATTCTTCTCCCCCAAACATACTTCATTTTGATAGCTTCTCACATTAGTTATAACTGCTGAGGTAATCGTGTGTGTGTGTGTGTGTGTGTCTTTCTCTCTCTCTCTCTCTCTCTCAATCTCTCTCCCTCCTGGGATTAGAACATGCTTGCTCAACATCTTCTTTGGGGAAATGTCTGCTGCAACCTCCTGCCCATGTTTGAATCAAGGTTGTGGTGTTAAGTTTTAAGACCTCTCTGCATTCTGAACATTAGTTTCCTAAGTGATGAACTTTTTACTGTCTCCATATCTTGGATAATTGTTCAGAATGTCATATCGTTGGAATCATGTAGTACAAATACTGTTTTAGATTGGCTTTTTTCACTAAGCTTGGCATCTCATTTAGTGGTTTGATCATTTCTGTGTGTATGTATGAATGGGCATGCACATACATGCATGCTAGTACTGGGGCTTGAACTCAGGGCTTTTCACATTTGCTTTGGCTTTTTCACTCAAGTTGAGTGCTCTACCACTGAGCCACACCCCTGTTTGGAGCTTTTTGCACTTTTTGCTGGTTAATTAGAGATAAAAGTCTGGGAACTGTCTACCTCAGCTGGCTATGAACTATGATCCTCAGATCTCAGCCTCCTGAGTAGGTAGTGATTATATGCAGGAGCCACTGCTACCTGTCAGATCATTTCTTTTAATCATAGGATATGATTCATTGAATGAATGTACACAGTGTATTCATTTCCCCTATTGAAAACAGCCTGGTTGCTTTCAGATTTTGGCAGCTAGGCACAAAGCTGCTATAAACATATAGACATCATGTTTTTCTGTGTATATATAGCTTTAGAATAGTTTGACACCAACCTGCCCACCCACCCCCAACCCACAAGTAACACCAGCACCCAGCAGTTGCCTTCTCCCTTTCTTGAATCAGCTCAGATGAGCTACCTGACTGCTGATCTTGGCTCCCAGATGAATATCTGTGGGTTGACTGTTAGTTAATTTAGCGTGGCATGGCATTGACTGGAATGACTGAGAAAAATGCAGCTGTGCTTTTTGTGTTTCTCCACCTTTATATGCCTTTCAGAGTGCCTGGAAAGTCCATAGGCTTAAGAGAACAGGTGCAGACATGCGTGACTAGTGGTGACTGGCAGAGTCACCATCAATCAAGTCACCTGGCCTAAGCTATGGGTCTGAGTGGAAAAGCACTAGGAAATTCCATGGCAGTGGGGCTGTAATCCAGGAGAAGCCACTTTTTGCAATTTTTTGGTATAGTTATCCCTATTTGGTACTACTCCTATTTGCTTTTTTTTTTTTCAGAGACATTTCACAGTGTTTGCCTTCAACTTTCCCTCTGGGGATGCACTAACCACCATCTATGGCCACATCTTTAGCTTCCATTTGCAGCAGCAAGTGTTTTGTCTATCAGTTCTCAAAAGCAGCCCCTCTTTGGTCCAAGCCACAATAGCGATCCATCAGATGATGACAAAGAACTTTTTAACAACAGCCATTAAATTCCACTACATCTTTAACCTGAGAGACCTATCAAGCATCTTCCAGGTACCTTAACTACTCTGTTAAATGCTTCTCAAGTAGAAGAGTCATTATAACAAATGTTAATGGTATTCATTTATAGAATTTATATGTGGGTTTTTTGCTTTATTTTATACTCATAAAGTTCTCTATGAAGTAAATATCATCTGTTTATTTCCTTCCAAAGGCAAAAGTGATGGAAGGGCACAAGAGGTAAACATTAGCACTTCTTGTATGAGATAACTTGTGCCCTCATGACTTGGTTACTTCCAAATAGCTCCATTTGTTACTAATAAATATCTCAGTGAAAATCAAGTTTCAGTACATGAAATCCAGAGGTGCTCATACCATGCCAGAAAGGGACTTAGCAATAGAAGCAAAGGAAGAAATTTGGCAGATTAGATTGAGTGCTTTTTTATCAAGTGCAAAATAAGACAAGCAATTGGTCATGCTTTTGCATAAAGCAATTGTGTATGATTATTTTTGTACATATTAGAGGTTTGTTATTGAAAATTGCCTTGCTTATCTGGTGTGTAAGTCAGCTTTCTGTTACAGTAAGAGATTCCTGTGATAATCAACTTACGAGGCAGAAACATTAATTTTGTCTTATGGTTTTGGAGGTATTAGTCTATGACTGGTTGGCTCCATTGCTTTGGCCTGTGGTAGCACATTGTGGTTGGCAGGGGTACATGGTAGACCAAACTGCTCACCTCATGGTGGGAGGAGGGAGAGTAAGAGAGAGAAGAGAGAGAACAAGGGAGAGAGAGAGAAAGGCACCCCCCAATCGCCTAAAGTTCTCCCACTAGACCCCATGTCTTAAACGTTCCCACCAACTCCTTCATAACTACTTGGTACCCAAGCATTTACTATGTTGACCTTTGGAAGGCATTCCAGACCCAAACGACAGCTGGCAAAAGGACAGTATTTATGCATTGAGTTATAAGGAAATTCTAAGTCTGACTCTTCAAAATGGATGCAGAGTGATTACCATGTACAGCGGATATAATTGGAGGGTTATTTCTTACAGTTTCCCTGTGAGGGAGATAAATGTGAAAGCTTCCCAGGATATCTTTGTGTCTGTAGAACTTTCCTCAGGATCACTCCAACACCTGCCTCAAAACCATAGCTTTAGACAATAGCTTGTTAATAACATGGCCCATTTCCTTTCACATCTCTATTTCTAGCACCTGCCAGAAAGACTGTGCTTAATGAAGTGTTGTTTAAAAGCAGAGTTCTATAATCGTAGACTATCAGAAGGTAAAGTTACTTTTATACACTCACACACACACCTCCTTTGGTTTCTTTGGAGTGTCAGCATTGGGTATATAAGTTAAATGTTAAAGAGAAACTGATTGGACATGTCATCATCTTTTGCATTAAAGTTGCATTTCCCATTCTTGCCTTATAGGGGATTCTGTTTGCATCTCCTGAGTGTTTAAAAGGTCCCAGTGACTTAGTGCACCTGTGGCTTCATGAGTGCTGCCGTGTTTATGGAGACAAATTGGTAGATACAAAAGATAGTGATTTGTTTCAGAAAAAAATGCTGGAAACCGCTTCTAAATATTTTGAAGTAAGTGTATGGGTATCAGAGGTCACCACTTGCTCTGGCACCAGCTGGCTTTGGAGATGAGGTTCAAGGAGGCAGTGACTAAGTGGTGGGATAGTTCCTGTCTACAAGAGCTGACATCCAGGAGTGTGTGGGATGGACTTAGGACATTTTCCCATGTGCTCCAGAATTGATTGGTTGGTGTGCTGGGTGAGTCTGACCACTTATCTCCCTTGTCCTCAGGGAGTCGACTGCCAGGCGCTGCTTCAACAGCCCCTCATTTATTGCCACTTTGCTAACAGCAGGGACCGCCCATGTTACATGCCAGTGAATGATTGGGATGTACTGAGGACGATTCTTACAGAAACGTTGGACAATTACAATGAGTTAAATGCCGCCATGCACCTGGTCTTATTTGAAGATGCCATGCAGCACGTGTGAGTTGACTTAGAGGCCCACTTCCAAAGTACCATTACATCCATCCTAGATTTCCTTTCATTTCATCACTGCCCCAGTGGATAAGAATAGCAAGAAAGGGAAATAGAAGTAATTTATTTAAAATCACGTGGTTCATAAGTAGGAAACTGAAATTGGTTTGTACCAATTAAGCAGGTTTTGTGGAGTACCTATTGTAAGTCAGAGAGGAACACAGCCAGTTTCTTCAGTATCTGGGTAAATTAGAACAAAAAAGGGAGGGCATTTTTTCTTGGCAGAAAAATTAAAGAAAGATGACTATCCTTGGGTACAGCATGACCCACAGGGCCCGGCTCCCCCTAGATGCCTCATACCATATGTGTGTGTGTGTGTGTGTGTTACACATTACCACATCTTTCCTGGCACACCTTGTCCTCGGTGCTGATGCTACAGCAGTGAGCACCACCTTTCATCTTTCTCTGACAGAGCCTGCAGATAAGATACTGAAATGGGCATGAATTAACAGGCAAGAAAAATATCAAAAAGTGATGTCAGGCTGAGAAATAAAGTATGTGATCCTAATGAACCAGAAAGTGTTGAGGATTTAGGAATTTGCGGGGGGGGGTTGAAATATATGCATATACATAGAGAAATATTTGGGGGAAGTGAACCAAATCTAAGCACAAAAACCATCACTTCTCATTTGTCCATAATTTGAAGGCACTTGTATATAACATGCTCCGTCTATCTTCATTCTGACTGCAGCCTGTCTTATAAAGTCAGATGTAGCCTTTTCTCAAAGAGTTTTGGATTTAGAGTATTTCAGATGTCAGAATTCTGGATAAAGCCTGTATCTGGATTCCTGAAGAAGGACTGGCTCTCCTTAAGAAGAAGTGATATTTAAGCTGAGATGAAAAGGATAAATAAAAGTGAGAGGACCATCAGGGAGAAGGACAGTGCATACGGAAAGCAGGTTTCATGGGGCAGTGCCAAGAACCTCTTAGAGCCAAAGGAAAGAGTTATAAGGCTTCAGCGCAGAGAACACCCAGGGAGAGCAGTATACAATGTGAATGGAGAAGCAAGAATGGTCCTATTTACTCAGAGCACTGCTCTGTTAGATGATAAGGAGTTTTGATTGTATCCTAAGTGCAGTGAGAAATGATTGGGTGGATTTAGTATGCCTTGTATAGACAACTCACATTGATGCTACTGCCAATAATATCATTACATCCAACACAGCTCTCCTAGTCCACATCACCCTCAGCTCTCACCAGGACTTCTAGTAAGTGACAATGGACAATGATTTAAAAGGGAAGAGTCAGGTCCTGGTGCTCACACCTGTAATCTTAGCTACTCAGGAGGCTGAGATCTGAAGATCATAATTCGAAGCTGGCCTGGGCAGGAAAGTTTCTGAGACTTACCTAACAAATAGCCAGAAGTGGAAGTTTTATTCAAGGTAGAGCGCCAGCCTTGAACAAAAGAAAATTCAGGGACAGTGCCCAGGTTCTGAGTTCAAGCCCCAGGACTGACTGGCACAAAACAAAAAAGAAGAAATAGGGCTGGGAAGGTGGCTCAGTGATAGAGCGCTTGCCTCGCATGCATGAGGCCCTGGGTTCAATTCCTCAGCACCACATAAGCAGAATAAAGCCAGAAGTGGCGCTGTGGCTCAATTGGTAGGGCAATAGCCTTGAGCTGAAGAGCTGAGGGAGCTGTCCCTCAGCTCCCAGGCCCAGAGTTCAAGCCCCCACAACTGAACCAAAACAAGGAAATAAAAGAGAGAAAGAAACAAAAAGAACAGATAAATTAAAAAGGAGGAGGGAAAAATAAGATAATCCCGAAAAAGATGGAGCCCACTTTTAGAAGAATTTGCTCTGAAATGTTTAGCTTAAGTTCAGAAGGAAAACTTCAGAGGCCTCCCTCTCACCCACTGAAAACTTGCTAGGTAATGATGGTGTGTTTGAGTCCTTTGCAGTAAACCACTAATTATGCAGATAAAGGGAATTTTAGCTAAAATCTGTTACTGGGTGGTTATGCACTGATAATGTGCATAGGTCATGGCTCAGGTGAAACTGGCATGAAGTAAAGGGTTTTTCCATGCCCTTCTTTAGTCTGAGATTCCCATGGCCAAAGAGGTCAGAGAACGTGAGTGAGAAGCTGGTTTACTCACTATTAGAGATGATTGAAGAGCATGTCCCTTTGTGTCCTGAAGAGGCATTTAGCAGACCTTGTTACGTAAAGATCTCAATACAAGGAAATGCAAACCTGGACTTGGAGCCTGGGTCTTTGCTCATGTTACAATTTCCCCAATGTAGTTCTTTCATGTGGCCACACAAAGTAAAATTTAATAGGATAAATGAAATTATTAATAATATTAATGTCTTAAGCCAGGTGCCGGTGATCCTACCTGTGTACAAAGCTGAAATCTAAGGATTATGACTCAAAGCCAACCTAGGCAGACAAGTCCAAAAGACTCTTATCTCTAGTTAGCCAGCAAAGAGGTAGAACTAGAGTAGTGACTCAAGTAGTAGAGCTCCAGCCTTGAGTGAAATAGCCAAGCAAGAGCCCTGAGAATTCTGAGTCCCAATAACATAATAATAATAATGCATTTTAGTTATTAGAGGTTTTTGTAAATGTTCCCAAGTGCTGATTATATCATAAATGACTCTAATTTTTTCCCCAAACACTTTTATAGAACAAATATCTAGGATCATTTGGGCCTAGATTTCAAAATAGCAACTTTAACAGCTCTGCTGGCATCCAGGTTTTATATTTGGGCATTTTATATGCTTTTATTTTGTTTTTCTTAATACTTACAATTCTGACTAATTTCTTCAAACCAACTTGTTAGTAATGTTAAAATCAAATTATTCATACTGAAAAATGTTTCAATGGTATCAGTAGCCTAAACTTTTAGGATCTTTAGAACATTGTAGAACAAGAGATCTTTTCAGAAGTTTTACTTCATGATACTAAAGGCTTCAGTAAATTATTGTTTTGTAGCCCAGGCATGGCAAAGTCTTCACTGTGATGGAAGGAAGAGTTCGATTAAGAGACAAGTATTTCATCTACATAAGTGAACCACATGTAAATGTCTGCTAGACTTTGAACAAATCTCCTGTCTTAAACAAAGATTTAGGGAACAAAATGTCTTTGGCTTGGGTGCTGACATGCAATTGGTTTCTTGCTTGCTCATCAAAAATCTTTGCAGCTTAGACACAAGGCCTCAAGTATATTTTTTAAGTACTGTGGTAAGCCATAAAGCAGTAAGAGTTCAAATGTTAAGTCATAAAGCAATAAGAGTTCAAATGTTATCAGCATTGGTGGCTCATGCCAACTAATCAGGAAAGCTGAGATACGGGAATCATGATTTGGAGCCAGGCTGGACAGACAAAATCAGAGAGATTCTTTATCTCCAAACAACTAACAAAAACACTGGAAGTGGAGGTATGGCTCAAGTAGATGAGTGTTAGCCTTGAGTGAAAAAGCCGGGTGAGAGCACAAAGATCTGACCTCAAGCCATAGTACACGTGTGTACTCTCCTATATGTGTGTGCCCCCCACACACCCTCACAGTTACTAGCCTGGAAAAGTCTTCTAGCCAAATAATTCAAGGACAAAAAGTCTTTGATGGGGAAACATGAAAAAGACTAAAGTTTCCATTAAAAACTGGAATTTAGTTTTTAAATGTTGATCTTTAAAAAAAAAACAGAGTAAACACTGTCTCTGAATATTGCAGGTTTTTATGTTGTGATGTCTGTTTTCTATTGCCAGGTGCCGTGTCAGCCGCATCCTTCGGACCCCACAGGGTCACGCCCTTTTAATTGGCGTGGGGGGCAGTGGCAAGCAGAGCCTCTCTAGGCTGGCAGCTCACATCTGTGGCCTTGAGGTCTTTCAGATTACTCTGACTGAAGGCTATGGGGTCCAAGAGCTTCGGGTAAGGAAAGCTGGCAGACAGGGAAGTTGCAGGATTGGAGTCAGAACCCCCTTCTGTGGATGTCCAAGGCCCTTCTACACAATGACATATTTGTATATAACCTATGCACACCCACCTGCATGCTTTAAACTTTTACATGAAAATAGGGTGGCTTTGTTGTTTTATAACATTATTCTGATCTATTTATTCAATGGAACCTATATGTCACTAATGTTAAAGGGCCATTCCTTTGAACAAAGATTAAAATACCAGCCAGGTGCTAATGGCTCAAGCCTGTAATCCTGAATTCTCAGGAGGCCAAGATCTGAAGACTGAGGTTCAAAGCCAGCCTGGACAGAAAAGTCCTTAAGACAACTGTTGCCAATGAACTACTGGGAAAAAGCCAGAAGTGGTGGTGTGGCTTAAATGGTAGAGTGGTAGCCTTGAGCAAAATAAGCTTTCAGGCACAGTGTCAGGCTCTGAGTTCAAGCCCCAGGACTGACAGAAAAAAAATTAAAATATCTAGCCAGATGCTGATGACTTATGCCTATAATCTTAGTTATTTCGGAGGCTGAGATCTAGAGGATTATGGTTCAGAGCCACCCAAGGCAGAAAAGTCCAAGAGAAAAATCTGACAGCATGAGAGGCCCTCAGTTCAAGCCCCATGTCAGTTTACTCTCTCTCTCTCTCTCTCTCTCTCTCACACACACACACACACACAACACACACACACACACAACACACACACACACACAAAGAAAAGAGCGAATATCATGTGAATGCTATGGTGTGGTTGATGTGTTGTCTTATTTAGGAAATGATACCAAGAGTCTGCATGTATTCTATAGGCACATTCCCGCCCCCTCAGATATTTTTAGTCACTGTTGGCCACATCTGTGGCTATGAAGAGCTGACTGTACATCTTGACCCTCTGTATGGCAGACAGAGCATAAGTTTTGAATATAGTAGGTACTTCCCAGCTAGAGAAAAGAGAAAGTTCCCAAGAGGAGTCATTTGCCTGTGGCAGTTTAATATGTATTTATACATGTTATAGGTTTAACAGCATAACCCTAGCTTGTAGATTTATTTTATAAAAAGTTCTCTGCACTCATGAAACTCAGTATTAAACATTCTTAGTGTCCTCATGGGATGGAGGTTAAAAAGACACTTCTTTTATAATTGCAAATAGATGACAAGAATGGGAAAGTAAAATGCAAAAAAACTAGCATATTTAAGGAACTATATTGTTTAAAATTTTTGTCTTTTTAATCAGAATGGTACTTTCAACACAGAGTACTTAGAGTTTATGACACGTGTTGTTTAAATTTTTAAGTTTAGTCTGGGTAGGATGGTATGTGTCTGTAATCTCAGCTACTTGGGAAGCAGAGATCATCAGTTAGCAATACTTCATATCAGTGAATAAGCCAGGAAAGGTGGGGCAAACTCTTGGTCTGTCTTGGGCATATCATGACCCAAGACTAGCCCCAAGGGGGGGGGGGAAATAAACCTCTCTGGAAAATAAATAATTAAAATCAAACACAGGAATATGGTTCAAGTCATAGAGTGCCTGCCTAGCAAGAAAAAGGCCCTGCGTCAATTCCCAGTCCTGCCAATAAGGAAACAATTCACACTTTTCCTACTACTGACCAAAGAACAAAAGCTACTTGGGAAGAAATGCACAGTTGAAGTCAGCAGTGGACTTGCGTCCCCTGCATTGCTTTCCATGGGTACCACTGTGCTCATTTCACTGTGAGAAGAAAGTGGTGGCAGCATCAGCATCACCTGCCTTCATCCTTCTGCTGCATTTAGCACTCAGAGCGCCCATGACCAGGCGTCAGAATGGAGGCGATGTGCAGCTGCCGTCTCCTGGAATGGGTGATGGGGAGAAACGGCACAGTGTTATAGAACTGCCATCTCCCCACATCTCACCGGCATCCTAACAATGTGAATGATGACCTTCTTTCCCTACAGGTAGATCTTGCCCATTTGTACATCAGAACCGGAGCCAAAAACATGCCCTGTGTGTTCCTGCTGACAGATGCCCATGTTCTACATGAGAGCTTCCTCGTGCTGATTAATGACTTGCTGGCATCAGGTGATTAAACCAACCCATTTCTTGAAAGATCTTCCCCCAATGACAAATTATCTGTAGTTTCAGTGAACTTTAAAGAGAGATAATTTGTCTTTGAGATGTTTGCCGGGGCAGTCTTTGGGGAGAAACCTATAAACCTAACTAATTTGAGGTATATTGCTCTCTAAGTATGCTTATGGATTTCAGGGCCTTAGAGAGGCCTGCAGGGAAGTCAATGTTATTCCTTCATGCCAGGGATAGTGCATGTGTCTCATTGCTCGCTCTCAAGGTGTTCTCTGCCTTGTCCATGAAGAAGTAAAAGAAAAATTGCCTTTCTCATTTCAAACTCTTTATCATGCAAGCTGACCTTTTGTCTTAAGAGAGCATTTCAAGTGTTCTAAAATCCTGTCCAAAATTTAGATGGCGATGATTCTGGTATAATTCTACTCCTTTTGGGGGCAGGAGAAATCTCAGATCTGTTCAATGAAGAGGAGATGGACAAGATAGTTTCTGGAATCCGCAATGAAGTTCGTGGTCTGGGCTTGGTGGACTCCAGGGAGAACTGCTGGAAATTTTTTTTGACCAGGGTCCGACTACAGCTCAAAGTAAGACACACTGCCTTTATAATGTTGTTTAAAAGCTGTTGCTGAAATATAGATCTCTATCAGTGTGTGGGTTATGACTGAATTTCAGTGACTGGTTTGGAAAAGAGATACATTTCTAGAGGTTGTGTCTACAAGGTGCATCACCAAGGTTTGCTGTGACATGGGGTCTCCTGCATGCCACAGGCTGAGCAATGTGTGCATCTCTGTCCTCTCTAGTGCTCCATCTGTTATAGGACACAGACATCATAAATAGCTGTCCTACAGGACAAACATAAATGGCCCCTGGGACTGTAGAGGACAGCCCCTTCCCAACTGAAGTAATAGGGCGGTGATGTGCACAGGTCAAGCAGACATCAGGAACTTTCAGAGAGAGAAAATAATATGTGTGAAGGTGAACTGTAAAAAGGTATTTGGAAAAACCTAAGCTAACTCTAAAAGACCGGAACATAGAGTTCCTGTGGGATGAACATGATTGGTAAATCTGAAAAGCAAATTGGGGTGAAGCAAGAGGTTATAAATCACTAAATGAACAATGGGACATTTTTGTTATTTTTTTATTGTGAAAATACTGTACAGAGGGGTTACAATTACATGGGCAAGATAATGAGTACATTTCTTATCAAGCACTGTAGCCTCCTCCTTTGTTTCCCCTTCTCATCCCTTCCCATCTTCCCCCCACCTTCCTACTCCCCCCCCACCAAAGTTGTAAAGTTTGTTTTCAACATAACGACTTGTACATCTCATTGCTGTAATGGGTCCACCTGTATCCCTATTTAAACGATTTGTTTTTCCCCTTGCCCTCCACAAATTATGGTACATCAAATACAGTGAAAGCAGGAGTTATACTGTGGGGGAGGGGCATACAAAGCAACAAAGAAATAATCTTATATGTGTTATAAACAATCGCATAAAAGAAAAAATTTGAATACATATCTTAGGGTTCATTTCCCTTATCTGAACTTTTCTGCTTGACTCAGACATATACTAGATATTGCAAATAAGGGAAACCATGGGACCTATGTTTCTTTGGGCCTGGCTTACTTCACTTAATA